ACAAGAACAATTGAAACCCGCAAAAATGATGACACTCTTTTGCTACACTTGAAAAACCTAGCCCACGCCCATGCTTTCGTTGAAGGATGTGAGCTTTGAGGACTAAATGAAAAGATCAGTCTGATGCGAGGTCAATTACGTTTACTTGTTCGATCCAATTCCCTGTGCTGATTATCAATACAACTAACTATCTGGCTGATATAGGACCGAAGATAAGATTGCTGTTATTGTCAACGTATGACAACATTCCCTTCAGGCTGTTGGAGTATCTCTGTTAATTACTCTAGTATATCGCTATAGATTGCGAATTCCTTATTCAGGTATGACTTGACACGGCCCTTGATCATCGAAGAACAATTGAAACCCGCGAATGATGACAATCTTTATTACTACAAACACCTAGCCCACACTTTGTGGGCTTTGAGGATATCAAATGAAAAGAACAGTCTGATGCGAGGTCAATTACCCAAATCAAGAGTCACTCTGGTCTCTCATTTGCCGGTTCTCCGGCCCTGAAGTTCAATATTCGGGTTGATACAAAGCCAAAAAAGAGGACTCTTTCCCCCAATTGAGCTCCGGACTCATGTTATGTGGTTGAGTTGGATCTCGTTGCTGATTTTTTCAATCACCTAGGTATGTCTCGCCTTCTCGCTCCTCTTTGCCGGGGCTATTCAGCATGGCGGTGCAGTGATTACAGACACATCAATGGATAGGCCAGAAAGTTCGCGAATGATGATTCGTTATGCCTAAGAAGCATACCTGACGCGAAAAACTTGCGGCTCAGGAATATGGAGGTGGTTGAATAAAGGAAGGTAAGTCCTCCACCCCCCATTTCTTGAAACGCTAATGTTGTTTGAAAGAACCTTCCCAAGTGGATAACTCTTCAAACCTCATAAATACTCATAAATGATGACAAGGGTATATGTATACTACATCTTCAGGGGTGGATATGCATTGCATGGACCCCCAAGATGAAGAAAAAAAATTGTCTGATACGAGCTACACAAGGTTTCTACAGAGGGTTGGTTTCTCAAATGATACGTCTATAACTCTTCTATTCTAGGCTGACATTGCATTTTATGACATCCAAGACACGAATGCGCATATGCTTTGGTGGTGGTTGAGATAAACAAAGACAGGCAAGGCTTCCATTCCCTGCATTTTTGTGATTGCTGATTATGAGCGTTTAGCCCTAAGGGTTAAAGTCACACTAGCTGGATGAATTCAGATGAAGTGGTGAACTTCATACTCATACGCGATGACCGTTGAATTGTTCAATCGAGTGAATGCCTTGCATAGGCATTGATGAGGTTACAAAAACGTCTAATACAGAGTTTCGACAGCATTCAATTGTTCGAGAAAGGCACATTGGCAATGCCATATGCCTCGGTGATTGAAATTATGATATTCTGGATAAGAATACCCGAAGTGGTTGTGCCTTCAAACTCTTGAATGATGACCCGTGAGTGATGTTTTCGTTCGGACAGACTATGCATTCGCATAGTCATCAATGACAGAGATAAAGTAATCTCTGGTAAGAATTGGAGACAAGAGCGTAACAACGGAGTTTGATCAGACAGTGAGTTTGCACTTTGTCCACGGCTTTATACTTCGCTGACAGAAGGCATTTAGACCGTCCTCTGGACTTACAGATGATAAGCTTGCCCGATTCCATACTTTCCTATCCAATGCTACCCCCAACGAGGAAAGAAAAGAAGCTCCGATGCGAGAGGAAGGCGGTGCATGGCTACAGAGGGGTTGCTGAGAGGAGACACTGCAATGCGCCTTTGGTGACGATCCAGTCTTACGCACTTTAGATCAAATGGTAAGCCCACTACCTGAGGGTGTCAATGGTAATACAAGACAAGATCTAACTGGTGATTAGTCTTAGGCTGTTGTGTTGAGACGACAGATATGGCGAAAAGATATTGGAAGCTTGGGGAGCACTTCAGGAGGAACTGGTGCTAGAAAACCGAAAGTGCACAGCATTGGCTGCAAGTTCAAGCATTGTTTTTCTCTGATATGCAATTTATGTGGCCGTTACCATATGGGTATGACAAGAAATTGAAAGTTGTCTTATTGGACTGATGTTTGGCGGCATATCAGAGTGGTAGATAAGTAACCAATGTCCGGAGCAGAATTGCTATAAATATCTAGATCAATGAGTCCTAGATGTGGTCCGATATGAGCGAGTACCTGGATTACCTCTAGAGCATATACGTGCCCAAGTTTGACGTATGGAGAACTTTTGGGAAAAAGTGAGACCAATGTTAGACCGTAAATAACCCAAAGACCTCAATAACAAAGATTTGAACAAGATAAAACCCAGTATCATTGAGTAGATTTTCCTGGCTATGCTAGGTATTTTTTCCAGCCGTGCAGGACAGCGCCAGTGAAAAACATATCATCAAGGCACCGGAACAACAACCAGAGGTCATTTTCCCAAATTCCTCTAGCCCGGTCCTCTCATGCAAGAGCGGTTAAACCGAACAAAAACCGCTCAAACATCCCCGAATCCTCCCAAGTCCCCAGTCCACCAAGAAGTCATGGAAATAAGTCGTAGAAAAAACATATGAAGACAGACATATTCCATTTCCCCATTGCCGTAAACTTTTCTTTTTCCTTTTTGCCGCGTAACAAGTGAGAAAGAAAAATTTAACGGTAGGACTTCTGGTAACGGGCGCGGGCACCGCGACCACCGAACTTCTTGGGCTCGGCGCGACGGTTATCGGCAACCAGGAGTGTGCGGTCGTACTGAGCAAGAGCCTGCTTCAGCTGGTTCTTGGAGTGCTCATCGACGTACTTCTGGTAGTAGGCGACAATGGACTTGGCGATGGCCTGACGGATGGCGTAGACCTGCGAGGTGTGACCACCACCGGTAACGCGGACACGGATGTCGACACCAGCGAACTTGTCAACGCCGACGATGAGGAGGGGCTCGTAGACCTAAAAATTCGAGCGTGAATTGTCAGAAATCGATTTCGGAGACGCTTTCCCATTGCCATTGTTGCTTGCGATTCGAGCGAATCTGTTCTTCTGCGGCGCGCGGGAGTTGGTGAAGCGGATGTATTGTGCGTACCTTGAAGCGGAGGATCTCGGGCTGGACCAGGGAGAGGGGCTGGCCGTTAACCTTGACGAGGCCCTTGCCTTGCTGTAAAAAGTCTCAGCATGTTGTCCAATTCAATGTGTATAACCCCATGATCGCGCAACATGTTGTTTCGTATATCCTTCCAAAATTCAATCCCAGTTCTTCGTTTCGTGCACAATTTGATTCCGGCTGCTTTCCTTCCAGATATTTCGAAACAACGTATTGAGACCGATGGGGTGAGGCGTTCATCATACCTTGCAGTGGGCGACAGCGGTGGCTATTGAAAATTAAATGTCAGCGCACGGGTTCATTCACACGGATCTCTGGTGGAAAAAAATGGGGGATCTTACCCGTCTTCTTCTTGCCGAAGCATTGCACACTCGGGACGGAAGCCATGGTGGATTGTCGTGGGGAGGGAGTGTGTTGTCGAGGGAGATGGAAAAAGAGTAACTTGAATTCCCATACCACAGTGATTGCCCTTCCGTGCGGGTTTCGCTTAGTGTGCGGCGCTAATTCTGAATTGGGACTAGCGTGGCACGAGACTTAGGGCTTGGTCACATGACCCGGAGAACTTCAGTCGGGGGTGGATGGAGGCTACAGGCAATACAGGGAACGCTGAGATCATCATTATCTCGGACATTTAAGCGCTGGGTCTGTTTTTGCTACTGGGATCTTCAATTGGACTTTTCCTCCTTCATTAATTGTCTAATTTGCCCCTCCCCGGCACTTACATCACCCTCCGCATCAACAAGATGTCGCAAGTCGTCGGCAAGGTAAACAGCTTCAATGCGGAGCCTTCCGGGCCAACCGCGCATGCGCTGCATTCAACTAAGCAACCCATCTCTAACATTTGCCGCATTAGACTCGTCTCGCCTACTCGCGCACATGGCACCATGTCGATGCCGGCTCCGACGAACGATCTCTCGGCCGCCTCGCCTCGTCGATCGCCCTCGTTTTGATGGGCAAGAACAAGCCCATCTACGACCCCTCAACAGATTGTGGTGACTATGTAGTGGTAGTGGGATGCCATGACCTCAAGACGACAGGAAAGAAACGATTCCAGAAGAAGTACTACACTCACAACACGCGGCCCGGTAGCTTGAAGAGCATGACGATGGATCAGATGTTTGCTAAATGGGGTGGTGGTGAAGTGCTGCGCCGCGCTGTCAGGGGAATGCTGCCCAAGAACCGACTAAGGGATATTCGCCTCGCTCGATTGAAGAGTAAGTGCTAAGTTCTTTCTGCGCTTCTGTGCCGTGGATGGGTTTGATTACTTGATGGAGATACACACGGGCATCTTTCAAGAACAAAGTGGACCCATCCATCCAAACCGTCTTCTTTCTTCATGCTTTGATCATCCTCTAACCCGATATTTCGCAGCTTTCGAGGGTGTCGCCCACCCCTACAAGGAGAATATCGTCAAGTTCGGCAACCAATCGGTGATCGGAAATCTGCCCGAAGTGCAGGAAGCATTCAAAGCGGCCGCCGATAAGCCAAGCGCATAAAGAATCCTTTTTTATATCTCCTTATTTCGTCATTTTACAACACTGACCTAAACCGGGTCTGTGTCTGCCTGTATTCTATTCTCCTGCGATGTTATGATCCAACCGCAAAAGCGCATGGGTGTGGAGTCCATTTGGGATATTGCTTTTGATTATCTACTCCGTGAACTTGACCTCGGACTTCTCAACTTTCGAGCCTGCGGTTCTTTTGAAATGTACTTATAGCACATACAATCACAATACCACGTACTATACAATGCTATATCATGGGAAGAGGTGTGCAGGATTGGATTCGAGATATAGGGAGTCTGATCCCATAGGTATAATAAATGGATATATGTACAGAGAACGCAAAAGAAAACCAAGCTAGCGCCCATGTCGGAACTCGCCGACAATCCTGTAGGAAGCATTTACAGCTTAGCTTTTTGCCCAGCACGACCAACAGTGCACTTGATGAGACCATTGGGGTTGGACTGAGGGGCGTACACCTCGGCATCCTTGCCAGTGTTCTTGATACCCTTGTGCCAGCTGAGATCTAAAGCGCGGGATTAGCATAAATCCAAGATGTGCAGGGGATTAGGGTCAAACGTACCAACTTCGAAGAAGTGATTATTAGGCAAAGCATACTCGACGGTATCCAGCAGAGGCACAGCAGCAAGAATCTGATCTGCCATCTTGTACATCGTCGCCTGGACAGAAGCACTGTTATCCTCAGCAAATGTCTTGAGGGTGACAGCGCGGGCCGCCTCCCAAGCAGCATTGAACTTCTCAAAGTTCGCCTTGACATCGGCAAGACCATTGAAGCGGCGCCACTGCCATTTCGCTGCGACATCGGTGCTGAGGAGACGGTCCCAGGTCTCCTTGAGGGTGGTGTACTCGTCGCGGACGAAACCCCAGAACTGCGAACCGGTGCTCTTCAGCACGGTCAAGCCATTGATGGCAGATTTGATGTCGATGCCCTTGCCCTCAATGACATCAACTTGCACATCTCGCGTCTCGGATCCCGGCTTGATGAACGAGTGCGGGTGAGGCTTGCCGTCGACTTCCATGCGCACCCAGCGGTGGGTCACTATATTGACGTGCGCTGCGTGGATGTGGCTGTACTTCTCGATGAAGTGTGTGCCCAGAATCGAGCCGAACAGCTCCGGTGTGGTTACATCGTTCTGCTTGGCTGTGATGAAGATGGTATTCTTGATCGAGTCGGTTGCGACAACGACACTGTTGTCGGCTTTGGTGTAACTGTGGAGACCTTTACGTTAGCTTCAACTTTTTTTTTTGGAAGATCAGAGATGTCGCCAGACTTACGAGGTCTCGATGTCGCCTTCCAGCAGGACACAGACGGTCATCTCCACGACAGTCTGGATTCCGGTCTTCTCATCGCGGTCAACCTTGCACACGCGGACATTGTCCTTGCCGTAGCGGGCAGCTGCCAATGCGCTCATTTTGAATTGTGAGTAGTAATATCGAAGAGAAGAGGAAAACAGAGAAGTACGCTTGAGGACAAAATAATTAAAAGCAGATCCAATCTTATTTATTCTGGAATTCGCCAAATTGGCTGATCAAAAGAGAGCATCGGGCACCTCCGATGGCCGCGATGGTCGCGAGTGGCCGGTCTCCCCTCAAATCCCGATCTTATCAGTTCGAGTCCATTTTCTTCTATGAATCCGTCCAAGGGTGTATGGCATGATACTTCCATTCTCAACTTCTTCCAGGGGAAAAATATTTCCTTTTTTCCCCGGACTTTCAGGCCAGTGGAGATCATCTCACATTCTCCGAATCCCGAAATTCCGACCTCCGCAAACATCAAGTCCAGACCCCTAGATTATTATATTTCAAATCCCTTATGCATTGTACGATAGTGCGAGATCCCGGATGTCACCCCCGGAGACCTCCACTGCGGACGGCAAGCTGCGAGAAAGACGTGGAACTCAGCGCTGACATTGCTCTCTGACCAGAAGATGCTCATGCAGTGGCCTCATGGCTGGTGATACAATGCGGGGAGAAAACTGTCACCATCTGTACGTTGACTCGCCTTGATGACGAGAGATGATGGCTTTTCTCCCATTCTTCCTTGTTCATTTGTGTACTTTCTACGTCGGGGATACCTTCGGGGCTAAAACGGTCTTGCATCTATCGTCTACGGTAGCTTGGATCTATATCCTCCCCGGTATATGCTAGGCTGCTCATGCAAATCGGGTATCTATGAGGCCTACAGAGCACATAGATCTTCCCAAACAACCTACAAGGAACACAAACATCACCAGGGTGCTTATGTCGGTTCAACAACACCTAGAATTAAGCTTGACATCTTCGCCGAAATTCGGTAGTGGAAGAGCCTCAATACCCACAGAGCACATGACAGTACCTACACATCGCAATAGGAAAATGTCTGCCATACACATCCTCTCACAGCATGTGCAAATGTCAAACACACTGACGCATCTAGCGGTCGACAACGATTGTCATAATAAAGTTGATTTGCCTCAATGGAGCTGACAATATTACCCGAAGCGTATCATGTGCTCAGCCACACTGCCGACCAAGCTGCTCCGGCGACCAAAGCAAAGTTTCGTCTTTGGGCAGGGTATAACCAAGATATCTAACTGTGTGGCAATCTCTTTCATACATACCGGACCCCAAATACTCATCCAATTTGCAGTGGGAGAATCCCGTAACGAAGTCTATAATATGTATACCAGATCCAGATAGCAGACTGAATTCTTCTTTTTTTCACTGAATGAATAACCCACGAAGGTGCATTATAGAAACGAAGGCCAAGCATATACCAATCACCCGCTGAGATTATAATCCTCGAATCGGAGTGTGTGGTTGGTGGTGATGTGGTATGTCTGCAACGTCGATCTGACGAATCTTGCATGCAGTGCACATTTCCAAGCCCTATGAATCAATATTATATCCCGCGATTGGATGAGGTGCCTATGAGTAAAAAGCGGACAACAACTCTCTCCGGTTCTCGGCCAAGCTGGGCTGACGGGCTTCTTGGTTCTTCTTTGTTCAACAAAGAGTCTTCACTTGCCGATTATGTCTGGTATTTATCGACTTCCGATTCTGTTTTGCTCTTAGCCTTCGACTGCTTTCGAGTTATTCGGAAATCCATATTAGTGATTAGGACTACCGAGGGCCTTCTTTGTTTCCATCTCGCAGACAAGCGCTCGTCCAGGTAATCATGACTATGGGTGATCTATCAAATTTGAAGAGAAAGCCGGGGGGAAAACGTGCTCCCTGGCTGTTGAAGTTTCGTTCCTCAACAAGTTTTATCATAGGTGCAGTCTGGATGTCTACCTTCACGGTATGTGAGAGGCTATTTGGATATATTATAAGTCATCAACTGACCGAGACTCGATTGGAATAAGGAATTCCTCCTATATGCCATGGTAAGCAAAGCGCATTACCTGAATACGAATTGGACACAGAATCAACAAACCACAGATAGTTCCCGTGATGCCAACAGCCCTCATAACCCGAGCCGGAGTCGAATATGACCACCGTATGTATGGTTCCTGTCCTCCTAACAGCTTTTCCACGGAAATTACCGCATACTCATCTTCAACCAGGAGAATTTTGGGTCAGTGTTCTTCTCATGTCTGAAGCAGGCACGGCTCTGCTGATGTGTCCCATATTCGGCTACCTGGTCGACCGCGGACGGACACGTCGAGTGCCTTTCATCGGTGCCCTAGTCATATTAACTGGCTGCATGTTGGTCTTGCAGCTGGCGCATTCCATCGCAGCATTTGTCGCGGCCCGTGTACTCCAAGGCATCGCAGCCGCTTTAGTAGTAGTAGCGTCATTCGCTCTCATCGGTGACGCTGTGGCCCAGGAACGTCTCGGTCAAACGATAGGGTATCTTGGCTCCGCAATTGCATCGGGCTTCTTGCTAGGTCCGTTCCTCGGTGGCGTGGTGTATAATTCCGGAGGGTACAATGCCGTGTTCTGGTTTGCATATCCTATTATTGCGCTTGATATGGTTATGCGGCTGGTTCTGATCGAGAAGAAGGTCGCTGCTAAATGGATCGGAGAATCGAATGGGGATTTGGAGTCGGATCTGGATACCGCACAGCGTATTCCTTCTGTCGGGTCTCGCGAACCACAGGTCGTTCAGAGAAGGAAGGGGTTCGTCATCTTCCAGATGCTCAAAGAGCGCCGAGTGTTGATCTCTTCATGGGCGCTTCTTGCCCAGGGAATATTGCTTTCTGCGTTTGATGCGGTATGTACCAGACTCGACGTCTTTCACATGATGCACACTAGCTAACCATATCAAGACACTCCCCATATTCGTTGAAACGACGTTTGGTTGGAACGCCCTCGGCATGGGGCTAATATTCCTCCCAATGGCCGTCCCAGCCTTCTTCGAGCCGCTGTTCGGCAGCTTCACCGATAGGTTCGGTGCCCGCTTCGTAGCCTTCGGCTGTTTCGTTTTGCTCTCGCCCACTCTCATCTGCCTCCGCTTTGTCCAGACGAAGTCGAACGAACAGATTGCTCTGTTAGTATCATTACTCTTTCTTATCGGGATATTCCTCCACGCCTGTGCGCCTGCTATGTACGTTGAGACACAGCTCGCGCTCACAGCGATGGAACTCAAGAATCCAGGAATTCTTGGACCCAAGGGTGCTGTGGCGCAGGGATTTGGATTGCAGAGCATGTGCCAATTTGCGGGAGTGTTCTTTGGACCGCTTTGGGGTGGTTTTGTCGAGTATCATTTTGGATGGGGCGCTATGACGGGCACTTTAGGGGTCTTAGTAGCGCTCACTGCACTTCCGATGTTGTGGTTGGGAGAAAGTGAAGAGGAAAGGGCTTTAATGAGTTAAATGAGGGTTACGCAGTTAGGCAGCACTTTTTTGGGGGTGAAGGCAAGTATAAGTTCTGCCTATTGCCCTACATCGTACATCATATCATGTAGGTGACCTCGGAACTATACGTTGCACCTGGATTTCTTATACTACCTGTTTTCATAAGGTGATGTTATCTGTGATATACTTGTATACCTGGAATCTTTAGCATCTTTTGTATTTCATCTTCTACTGTAGCTGCAATGTATGGGCCTAGGGAACCACGCCATTGATTAAGATCTTCCCGATTTATCAAAGCCAAGTAAGAGAAAGAGAGGAGAGACCTAACTGGCTACATCGTCATATGGCCCCCAACATAGAGACGGTGGATTCTAGTTGGAAGTTGAGGCATTTCTATAACATGAAGTTCGAAAATGGTTAGCCCCATATAGAAGGCTCCACTATGATGTTAAGGTTATCGCCTGGACTATCCCAATTCGGCATATTTCATGCTTTCAACCTGTTTAGGCTTATCTTTGACATTCCACTCTCTCATCTCCTCATATTGACCATATTGGGATTCTTACCTTCAACATAAATACTGAGAGCATTGTCTACTTCTTCACTTCATCCAAAGTCCAAGACTCTCATCCAGACCTCACTAGTAATCTACCAATCCAATTATCCGTTCCAACCATGCCTGCAACCAACAAAACCTGGCACATCCAGCACCACGCCCTCACACACAAACCAGACAAAACAAAGCGATACATCTGTCCATCAGAAACAAGCCCCCACCTAGCAACCCTACTAAGCTTCCCCTCACGACGCTCTACCCTCCCAGAACTGCACGCCAAAACAACCAACGAGATAATATCCCTCGCAGCAGCAATCGCAGCCTTCGAGCCCGTCCGCCTGCACACCCGACCAGAAGACATCCCGCAAGCCCAAGCCCTGCTCGACAAACAAACCACCCTCCCACCGCAGCACCGCGCCAACATATCCATTGTCTCAGCCCCAACCAACCACTGCTGGATCCGCGACACAGGACCCGTGTACATCCGCAGTGCCGACGCAGCAGATAAATCCCGCTACGCAATCGACTTCCGCTTCTGCGAATGGGGCCACAAAACAACCGAACGCATCTACGGCCCCAACGCCTCGTCCACAGCAGCAAAGGCGCTGGAGACTTCCCCGCAGTACGCGGAGTGGCCGGTCATGGACGACGAAGCCATGCGCGAGAACACGGCTTTTGCAAAGACCGTGCTAGATCTCGAAAATGCCAAGGCGAATACTGTTATGGATGCTGTTATGCGTGTGGATACGGATATCAGGCTCGAGGGGGGCGGTATTGAAGTTGACGGCGAGGGGACGTTTATGGCAACGGAGAGTAGTATTATCGGAGATGCGCGGAATGCTGGACTCGGGAAGGCGGAAATCGAGGCTGAGCTCGGCCGGTTGCTAGGTGTCACCACTTTTATTTGGTTTCCTGGTCGCGTTGGGCTTGATGTTACGGATGTGCATATTGATGCTGAGGCACGGTTTGTGAGGCCTGGTGTTGTTGTTGTGTGTCGTCCGCATGAGAAGGCGGAGAAGGTGCATTGGGAGATCTATTCGGAGATTCGGGAGGTCTTGGAGAGATCTACTGATGCTCGTGGGCGTCGGTTCGAGGTTCATGATGTTGTTGAACCGGATCCGAGCTGCGTTAAGGGAGATGTTGCTGGAGAGGAGGATGCGCCGGCGGCTTCGTATGTTAACTTTTATTTCGTCAACGGGGGACTGGTTATGCCGGCGTTTGGGGATGCTGAGGCTGATGCGAAGGCCTTTGAGTTGCTGAAGGGGTTGGTTCCTGAGAGAGAGGTTCGTCAGGTTGAGGTTAATGCCTTGCCTAGGACTGGAGGCGTGCTGCATTGTGTTACGCAGCAGGTGATGTGAGGGAGCTCTAAGGTGTACATAGATCTTATCTTTTACTTGACAGTGATCAAATATGAAATCAGATATCAAATACACTAAACCTAATATCTTATTCGTGCATATGCATGTAGCCTATAGGAGAAGACCCAAAGTATTTGAACATACATAGTATAATATGGACGATGCTGATATCGAAAAAGCATGTTTTTGATCAGCAAACTAAGGTGCTGAGAAATGTAGACAGAACGAACAGAGAGGAGAGGGAAAAGGCCAAACGATAGACTAAACAAACCCAATCGACCCACGTATATCATAACTCATGTAGAATAGTGTAAGATTTATATCGTTTTTGGGCTTCTTTGTACCAGCAAATTCACCGGCAAGAAACCAAGATCACCAGTCGAAACTTGATATCTTCCCCAAGAATCCCGATTCCAGACTTAGCAGAATCAAAGACCCGGTGGAAGAATCGAGTGAAGGGGAAGAAAAAGAGAAAAACGCCGTCCCAGGACACCTCAGTAATGCCGCGCCACATAACAGACCAAGAGAACGCGGACGAGAACCCAAAAAGGAAAAATAAACATGCGTAAACCTCGTAGAGCAGAGCCGTGATAGAGCAGGGCCAGATATCCACCCGATCAAGTATCCGTTACGGCTCCCAGGATGATAGCCACGGGCATGCATCGAACAAAATCAAGATCAGGCCAAAAATCAATCCAACCATCATAGAACCCTCTTGGGACCCTATTCACCCCACATCGTATACCTCAAAGACTCAACTGATCAATACTCCCCACCCGCCCACTCCCGCCAAGCCGCCCCCCACCCTTCGTAACCATCCCGAGCCGATAGAAGCGCTCTTCGCCGGCCGGCGTCCTCCCACCAATATACCACTTCTCAGGACCTATAGCATCGCGGAACCCGCCGGAGCCGCTGGAGGAGTCACTCCCGCGACGTTGGCGGTCTGAAGTGCTACGGTTGATCGGGATAGGTGTTGAGGTGGACGATGGTGGTGTGGAGGAGAGGGATGATTGGTCGTGGTGGTAGTGATGTGAAGGGGCGGGGCTTGGGCCTTGGACTGGACCGGCTGGTGCTGTACTTGGTGCCGAGGAGGAGTTGGATGATGTGTGGGTGTGATGATGGTTATGGTTGTGGTTGTGATTATGATGAGTGTGGTGGGCTCCGGCGGCAGTGGATGATGGTGCTGAGGAGCCTTGGGCTGAGTTTGCTGCTTTTGTGGCGATGGTGCGGGCGCTCTGGGAGATTTGGGCGGAGGAGATGGTTGAGGTGGTGCCGACTTGCTGAGTGGGTTTATAGGTTGACTGGGCGCGGAAGGCGGCCAGGAAGTTGGCGAGGAATGGACGGTTGTTAGACATGGTACAGAGGATTCACATAGACGAGAGAAGTGATATTGAGAAGTAGAACATGTAGAACAGAGAAGTTTCGATTTCAAGAGATTCCGATCCCTCCAATCACGGGTACTGGATTATTGACATGACGTTACTTAGGAAGTTTCCGGGTCTTTTCGATTTTCTCCGCTTCTCCGCTACTCCGCAACATCTATCAGCTGATATTATACGGAGTACTAGGAACAATTTTGTGCAAGTCAAATGGATCATAAGTCTATTTCTAACTGCTTTTCTAGTAAAGCCCAAACAAAACACCTTAAATCACACCTCAAGAAATTCCCGAAGCACATATATGTCCTGCCATGCCGACTTTACACGAGAAAAGAGGCCATGCAATGCAGAAAAAAACAAAAAAAAGATAAAGCACATGAAAGAAATGGAAAAGAAACACAGTAATTCGACAACCATCCCATAAAGATAATGTATAAAAAAAAAAGCTTTTCTTCTTTCTGATGTCGAACACTCGCGCAAAAGATGAACACATGCCCATGTCTATGTTGTGGACGCCGAACAAACCACCCACCATACCATCTGCCCCTCTCATTGGGGGTTCAAGATAAAAGATAACCAGACTCGCAAACCACTTGTGTAAGAATGCACACCCACACCGGATGGGATCAGAATGAAAGAAAAAGATCGAGGACAAACGATACTAAAACAAGACCGGAACGGGGACGCTAGGAGCACGAAACACCGCAAGCTGAAAGCCGGAAGCGAACGGACCAAAGGACTATCGTAAACGGGTTTTGCCGAGACATCGTGACCAGTGGATTTGCACCAGCAGAAAAGCCAGGGATGAAGGCCTAGAAACAATAGTTGAGAGGGTGGAGAGCAATAGTCCTACCCACGGCGTGAAGAAGAAACCCTTGAATGGTTTCTTGCTTCGTCCAAACGCTTTTTCAATCTCATGTGTCGTAGCCATCATCTTGCTTTCTGATCGAATTCACCGTCTACTGTCTCGCGGGCTGCACAGTACCTGCATATAATTATTAGAATAATTGTCATAATGAACAGGGTAGAAAAGGCAAGGACTAACCATCTCCACTCAGTGTAGTCGAGGCAAGGTACAGTCCGTTCATACCGCTCTCGGGACCGGTCGAGGCGGGGTAGAACTTGCGGTCGTGGTCGACGGGAGCGTGGATCGGCTCCTGGCCCGCGGCCATGGAGTGGGGGAAAACGGGGTTAATGTAACCGTCGGAAGAACCGTGCTGAAACATCGAATTCCAGTCAACACCCGGGTGATGTGAATGGGGACCGGGCATGACCGGTTTGTGGTCATGATAGACCGGGGGCTTTACCTGTTCAAGGGGACGATCCGTCAGCTGCTGGCCATGGGCATCGACACCAGGCTGCATGAGGTACGGATTCTGCTTGGGTCCAGCCATCCACGAGGCTCTCGCATGCGCCTGGCCAGCGAACGCGTCATCACCGGGACCACGGTTCATGCTGTTGACAGACTGCATCGTGAAGCCTAGCGGCTGCTGATCCGTGTAGGCAGGACGGCCTGCGGCCATTCCATTGCCGTTCACGGCCCCATCGAATTGCGCACCCATAACGCCATTGGAGTGGGGGACGGGATTACTGACTTCATCCTGGAGCGGCTTAGGGGGGTTGGCCGCGGCAGCCGCAGCTGCTTGCTGCTGAGACCGCTTCAGATGGGCCTGGGGGTGGGACAAGTGGGTCGCACCGGTCGGGTTACCCCGTCGGATTGAGCACTTTTGGAAGTGACGCTTCAAGATATCACTGCGGGAGAAAGTGTCCTTACAGAGAACACACATGTAGGGGCGGTCACCGGTGTCTATATAAATCAGAAAAAAAAGGCCATTAGCAAATCTTGATCACCTTGGGGAAATTTATTTGTTTCCTTCGATCTGGTTTCCATAACTCACGTCTCAACAAATGGCGCTTGAGGTGCTTGGCGTGGAGGTAAGTCTTGTTACAATGCGGGCAGGGGAATTTGCCATCTGCATCCTTAGCAGGAATAGTCGTGCTCTTAGCTGTACCGTTGACGCCGTTGGAAACTGGAGTCGCACGGCCAGGGACACTGGGCAAAATGCCACGGCGGCCCTGAGAGCCGACGACCTGCGTCCGTGGCGGTTCCTTGGCGTAGGGGGAGCCGTTCGCGCCGTTCACATCAGGAGTCATACCCCAGCCCTTGCCATCGGAGTAACTAAAGGCACCGGAGGGAAGACCATTGAAATCCGGGCGACGGTCGCGTGGGGGTGCCGGAGCAATCGGTTGAGGGTAGCTCTGAGCGGTGGAGGCGGGCGGAAGCACACTCGGAGGTGGGGGGTACTGCTGATGCGCCTGTGTTTGAGGGTTAGGAAGGTTCAACAGAGACGATGGCGGAAGGCTACCGACAGTCGTGTGCGGCATCATAGGGGCCTGGGAAGCCCCGTAGACATCGTGAGTTGACGGAGGGTACCGCGACAAATCCGGACGGTAAGGCTGGCCCATGTAATGGTGAGGCGCGGGCGACTGAGGGTGATGAGGCTGCAATGGAGGCAGAGTATGCGGCTGCGAAACCGGATACTGCGGCTGCATCGAGTATTGTGGCATGTGCATGCTCGAGATGGGAGTCGAAGACATGGGCGTGGAGCCTGGAGGCAGGCTGGTGGATGGAGGACGGGAAGGGTGAGATCTGGGATCCATTGTGGACAGGAGGAAAGATCGTATGGGAAAAGAAAGAAGTTTCACGATAACTCAATCATCAAACCTGCACTCCGAATAAATTTTTTTTCTTTGAAGCAAAGGAAGCTCCTTGTTTGAAAATTTTCCTGCGAACAGAAGAGAGGCAAACGGTAGGGTCTCACGGAGTTCACGGGATCACACAAGTTGACTCCACACGAAGAGAGAAGAGAAAGAAAGAGATGCTTAATTGAAGAAGATTCCCCACGGTCACCCACCAGAAGAAAAAAATAGGATGGTGATTTATCCGCACGTTGTCACCGTCGATGGTTCTGTATCCACCGAAGAAGCGGGCGTGCAAGTGGGTCTCTCGCAGCAAAAACAACTAGTCCGAGATCTGCTTCGCGTCAAGATAATCCTTGAGATTGAGGAATTGACTCAAAAATAGCCAATAGAATGGAAATGTCTCAAAGAATGAAATGTAGAAATTGAAGCAGGGAATTGAAGATTGAGAAGGGGAAATTGGGGGAAGAAGAGGAAAATGGGGGATAAGTTTCTTGGTAACGAAAAGGAAAATTCTAAGGAAGACCGGGTCGAAATAAAAAAAAAAAAAAAAAAAGACAGAAAAGACGAGAAAAGACGAAAAAAGACGATCGTTCCTCGGGGAGGCAAGAGGCGAGAGAAGAAAAAAAAAAAAGAGAAGGGAAAAAGACATGTAATTACAGTATTTTCAATGAAATTTTACAAATTTTACACGGCCGTCTTCCGAACTATGGCCGATAGCGGTAGTATGGACGTATTAGGATTATTGGGATTATTGGATTTATGATTTCTTAGACTTATTAGATTCAGATTTGAATTTAAATTTACAAAGAATAGTAAGATAAAGGAAGAGAAAATAAAAAAAAAAAGAGAAAAGGAGAACATTTTCAGATACAACACATCGTGAAATATCATTTTCTAATCTCCCTACGCGTCCGGACATGATGACGCACTTCCCAAGGTATATCCCACCTGGCACCCGTGGACGGATGTTAATAAAGTCCCGAAACATCGTCAAACATATGATGTCCTCCATATGACAATTCATATCATATGCAATCTGATTATTCCCCAGGATATATCATGTACTTCTATAGAATGTACAACCAAAACATAAGGTTTTACTTACCACATGCAATGAAGGTCTATTTCTTGGCCCCCCGATCACGGCCATGACCAAAACTCCCATTGATAGTGACAACTGAACCTACCATACCGTTGTGTATCTGATGTTAGAGTATACAACATAGATCTTATAATTGAAGATGGAGCCATCTCCCCGAGAGTGGATTATGGGTGACCCTGGCTCTTCTTTGTTTTGGGCTCCGCAGTGGCTGACAGGCCCCGCAAGTGCCATGGAGATGAGATCTGATATGTACTCAACCCATTCCTTGACCACTAACTATGTACCTTTGAATTACTATGTTGTATAGGCCACTACCTATATTCCAAGTATGTACTCGATAGAGGGACAAGATCTACATAAGGCTCCCACTTTTACACCTAGGCATTGATCTCTTCAAGCACGTCATCTGAGAGACTCCCGGGAGAGGTCCGGAAAGAGCTTCATTGAGCTCGGCGATACGGAGTAGAAGACCTCAGCATGCAGCCTGGAGTTGGCTTCCTACATGCAGCCCGGATGTACATGGCATATCTCCAGAAGAGGGGCTATGCGTTCTTAGGCCCTCTTTTTGGGGAAGACTGGGGGTTGCTGTAACGGTCATGCAGTGTTGCCCTATTTAGTGGATGCGCCGTAGCCGCTTGCTGTTCCGCAATCTGCATTTAGCTTCACGAGACTCGAAATGAAACATGACCTGAGCTATACCATAAAAAGAAAACTAAGCGTATTGGGCTATCAATGGTATAAGTCTAATTGTCTCACTGGGACACTAATACTATTGCTGCCTAGGTGCTCCCAATATAGGGAAATAGAGGAGTGTTTCCCCTGGGTTCAGCCACACAGGAATGATCTAGGCAAAATTGGCATTCAGGGGGTTCCCCTTATTGGACATGACTACTTCCGTGGTCTGACATAGGTACATGTAGCAGGTTAGCGTACCTTTGTATTTCACATTCTATTATTAAGCTATCTCGACCGAGAAGTAACACCTAAAGTTTCAGATCCTGCGCGCCATTCGAGTCCCGTGTGACTACTCCGTACGTTCACAATGAAAGACGGGACTCAAAATTATATTAGATAAACTCTATCAAACAACATGTAAATTGTATGTATATTTGCCGGGGATGATCTGTATTCCGGACCCAACATCCCTGCCCCTCCTTCTCCACCCCTTCGCCAGAGCTTCTCCCGCTTCGATTGTGGACCTAGAAGGCTTCGACCAGGGTTCTGCAGAAATATTGAACTGACCACCTGATCTAAATTTCGTGCACGCTATAATGCATTGAGATATTATATATTATATTATTATCTTATTTTCCGCCAAGGGGAATCTAAGCTACGACGTAAAAGGAAGTTCGCTTGACCTTCCACTTTGTTTCACCTCGGTATGTGTACAGGTGTAAACGTATAATAACTACAATGTACTATATGGGAGATAAGTGTGTCTAATTAGGTGCATATGTTGTACTCTGTCTCTTGATAATACCTAAAAGGAATCCTTTTAGGGGAAAAAATCTGGTTGGTGGCTTGACAAACATTAAACGCGGTGTATTGAAGTGGCAGGTGACTTTCCGTGCTTTGCAAAATACACACTCGGCATCAATGCCGGGAGTTAACGGACTCCACTATCCAGTCCCCGAAACGGTTCGCAAAGTACGGTGAGGCTTTTGTCCGAGTCTTTAAATTTTGAATACCAGGGGGCCAATCTAATGCATATATTTGTTACTAATATTTTCCTATTATGTTAGACCTAAGGACTGTTCTTGTATTAATCTCCGTACAAAAACAAGCCCTACGATCGTCACTTGGTCTTCCTTTTTCCTCCCGTGGATGAACCTTTGAATATGTAACAAACCCACTACCGACAGAAATGGGGCCAGTAGGGTTAAATTGCCCGGATGCTTAACATGTTGGGATCAATCTCAACCGGGATAGGAGAGAATAGCGCGCGCGAGATGTAGATCCCGCCCCAGTCCCCATCGCTGCCGAAGAAGATATCACGTGGGAGATATGTTGTGGCGTATAATAAAACCATGAAAGCCATTTCAATGGAAAATGTAAAAACTCGTTTTTCTTTTTTTTTCTTGTTTTTAAACAAAAAAAAAGCAGAAACCCAAAACAAGGTAGTCGACGTGGTCTTCACGATATACACAACGCACACCCGAAAGCGCTCCTCTACATCCGATCGTCAACACACAAAATGGTCTTCTTCCCGGCATAGGCCGGAAACACCGCAGAAGCCAAGTCCGGATCGCCGAGTTTCAGGAATACATCCAGCCAATCAGGATCCACTACCCGCTCCAGTGGACGAGAGGATCGTGCCGCCACCGACCTCATAGGCTGCCGATATCTGTAGTCGATGCTCAGATAGGAGTAGCGGGGTTTTTCAAGGTCCTCGAGTCTGACTTGCATCTAATTTTTTTTTATCAGAATTTGGTATTAGAAAAAAATTCAAAGTTCGTTAATTTTGAAAATTGACTTTTGAGTTAAGTCAAAATAGTGGTTACAGTCCCATTCTCCAATTCTCCATCTTTCTCCATTTTCCCATGTGTTCTGTGGATCGGAATCCATTCGGTACAATATGGGGGTTATGGGCTTAGATAGTTCAGGAACCGAATTCTGATATTCCATTCTTCAACGTTCCATGTAATTATCGGAAAACGTGTACCAAGGGAGAAATTTCCCTGGCCGCGTCACGGGGTTTCGGATATAATTCGATAAAAATGGCTACCAAAACATATATGATTCGCCTCCTATTAATATCTCATATTCTCACCACCTCGCTACCATATTTTTTGAATGTGAAGGCAATTGAATTACCTAGGTACATGTTACTTAAGGTCCTTGGATTCAACTGAACATCTGTTTGCAGTGTAACCTTCAGGAATGCTTGAACAAACCATTTTAAACCCTGCATAAATTGGGGCGCATAAATATTCAGCCCATCGGACCGAAGCATTAAATACGTAGAAATGCAAATAATATATATATATATATAAAAAAGACTGGGAAAAAGGCAAAATGGCCCCCGATTTGGAAATTGTAACGTACAATACCGTAGACTCTGAAAAACAGAAAACAGCCACTTTTTTGGAGGCAACTCTCTTTTTTATTTGTCCAATCCACGGTTGACACCCCCAAATCTGTCAATCCAAAAAGAGGAACTTCAAATGGGCCAATCTACGAATTTCAGAAAATTACATTCAAATGGATCAGATATGTCATGACGTAGGCTTGTAGGATTTCTCTACCCCTGACAGTGACGATCGAGACTGCAATCAGCCCGGACGGGAGCGGGCGTGGGCTGTACAACAAGGACCTAGTGAGCACGTTTTTGGGGTCACTTTTCGCATTCATGTCCCGATTCTCGTTGGTTTGGAGTTTTCTTCAATTATCACCAGAGAGGATTTTGACTTTTAAATGATGACTATATGTTCTCCGAGGTTAAATAACTATACTATTACGCACTATAATAACTTATATGTGAGCTCTATCTACATGGATCGAAGTAGTATACAAGTGGGCCCCCTGTATTGCTAGCATATAGCTCCTCGTGTTGGTGGGTTACCCCCCCCCCCCTCATCTGGAGTCAGATTAAGCATATCTCTGTTCCAACCAAGTTTTTTGGTTTTTCTCCGTTGCATCCATGTTCAGTGTCCACCGCCGCCAGTGGGGTCTCAGGGGTGGGATGGTGGAGCTACAGGATTCTTCCCGGGGATCCCAGCGCAAAACATGTTGTACAAGGTACTTAGCCGTGGGGGAGGCAGTTGCTCAATTTTGGTACTTTGGGGGCTGAACTAGTTCTTAAATAGCTGGCCTCGTGTTTGGGCTTGCTCTTAGGGCATAGGCATTGGTTGGTTGGCTTGCTGTTAGCTTAGAGGACAAGGGGTGTAGGATCTCCCTTCGCGTGGAGGTACCGTGTACAAAGTGCAAGCATAGAGACGATCAGCAACTTACATGGTTGTTCTGCAGTGTGTATTTCTTGCATATTAAGCTCTGGCTTTTTCTTTGAATACGAGTATAATGTCATTTACAATGGAATATGACGTACTCTACTCCGTATATCCATCCTTGACTAACCCTAATTCATTTGTATGTGCCAATTGTTCTTCAACTACTCCCTCTGTAGAATACGTACATGACTTAAAATATAAAATCATTTTCATCCCCGGTATAATTTCATACGGATCTCATACAGTCAACCTTATCTCAGCCATATGGAACTGGTGGAGTAGTGGGTTTGCTCCATTTTCTCCATCATCAACCACACAGCCATCACGGCCTTAAACCAACCCAGGAGGGGCACTGGGTCAGGCTCCATATGACTCTGCCAGAGAGATCCATATTTATGGAGCCAGATCTATGCAGTGTTTTTCTGACATGCATATGGCGAATGCTTATTTTTGTGGTGGATTCATCTGCTGCCATCATCACTACTTATAGATAGAAGACTCTAAGTGAAGCTGAGGATATTTTCGTATTGCATACACTTGGATTTATGGTGCTAAGGCTATTTGGCTGATGGACTCCATCATCTCCTACTAGAAGATTAAACGTATCAAACAAGGAGACCAAAATAAACTCGGAAATGCAATAACGGGCGACAGGCCCCAAGAGTTCGCTACAAGCAGTAGTATAATATTAAGCTATATAGTACCAACATAAATGTCAAACCTTGGATCCAAACTGATATAATGACTTCTACACAAACTCAGAGATCTAGGTAGGTTTATCTAGATCATCCACCTTGCGCGACAAAGAAGCTGCCTCAGTCTCTCGAAGCTCAGGCTCGATGCCCTCACTAACGATTGGCTCCTGCTCAATCGCATGGATGGCATGCTCGACATTGACCACAGGACCTCGGAACCAGCGATGAGCATCAACAAACCACCAAATCGTGACCGCCACCATTGGTACGCCCCAAGCAAGGCAAGTCCAATTCATTCCATCGGGTGTTAAGTTTTTACCAGTAACACTGGGTAAACACAATATCGGGATCATCAAGAGCACAAAGGCAACACCAATGGCACCGATATACGGGCCAAAGGGACCCAGATGCCAGGGGCCCTTGCGGAACCGATTACCGACAAAGAACACCCGAATAGTGATAGGAACAGCAAAAGCAAAGAACTGCGCAATAGCTCCAATAGAGAACAAAGCACCAATCACGACCTCCCCAGCCAGAATAAGAAGACACATTAAGATGCCGAGAACGGTATTCAGCACGACCGCATTAACCGGAGTCTGGGTAGACGGGTTCACCTGCTTCCAGTAATTCGAGAAGGGAAAGCAGTCATCGCGGGCATAGGCATATGTAACCCGCGACGCAGCAACCATACACCCCTGGCCCATGGAAAATCCACAGACAATCGTCAAAGCCAGGATAGCTATAGCCGTTTTCTGCGGCATGACCTGCAACAAATACGACGCCCAGGGCTGTCCCAGATCGGAATCAATGACAGCCTCGATATCCAGCACCGTGTATGCAACAACCAGCTGTAGGAACCAGCCCATCAGCCCGCCCACGCCGGAGGTGAGCACGATTGCGCGCGGTGAGGCGATGCTCGCGTTCGAGCACTCCTCGCTCAAATGGAACGGCGAGTCGTAGCCAGACATCGTCCAGATCACACCGACGAATGTCATGAGCACAGCGACACCGTCGGGGAAGTCGGTTAGGTTTGTTATATCACCCCAGACTTGTTTGGAGGGGGTGAACTTCGGGCTGTTTGTTGTGTTGGCGGGGATCATGATGAGGACTGCGATCAGGGCGATGCAGTTAAATGCTGAGCCCCATGAGTTGAACTGCGCTACCCGCTTCGTGGGCATACTGCTGATCCCAGCGTGCACAATCATTATAAGGGCCGTCAGCAGGAAAGTCTGCCATGAGGTCGGGGTGTAGTCTGGTTTGTGAATTGAGACTGCTGCGAGGATCATTGCGCTAAGCGAGTAGTTGACTGATGGTGCTGCAGTTATCTGTCCGATCCAGTTGGACCAGCCAGTGATCCAGGCGGCGAAGGGCCCGTAGCCGGGGGGTGCGAGGACTGCTGCGGCGTAGTATAGTCCACCGCTGTATAACACATGTAAGCCTTTCTTGAACACTGAACTTCTTGGATGTGATATCAAAATGTCATACCTAGTCGGCATTGCTGAACATAGCTCTGCCATTGACATTGCAATGCACTGGATGAATATCATCGCAATGATCCAGCCCCAGACCATGCCTGCTGTTCCGGCATATCCCATTCCTTTAATGGAATCAATGTCAGCTAGATCTTATACTCAATCTTACAAACATAGATGTGTAGGCACTCACCATAATACAGGGTACTCGCAAACGACGGTAGCAATCCCAGAACAGCAAAGCTGACGCAGAAAGTCGTCCATAGGGAGAACTCGCGCTTGAACTCTTGCTTGTAACCCAGCGCCGTGATCACCCTCTCATCGACATCCATATCATGGTCCGTATATGGCACATCTCCATCAGGAAGCACAGAAGTCACTTGAACATTGTTGACCTCATGATGTCCTTTGGAGATGTCGGAAATGGCATTTTTGGTATCCATGGTTGTGCCCATGGCCAAAGGAAACAGGCGTGTCGCGATTAATGTATGCGATTTATACAATGTATGAGATATATATCAACGAAACAGAAGGAGGACCATGCAAGGGATGAACAAGAATGTTTTCACCTTGAAGCAACAGTGAAGGGAAACAGGAGCATAATAAAGTAGCCTAGTATGAGGCGGGCAGGGGGTAGCATCGTTATCTATGCATAGCATGGAGCATTTTGCTTTTGGCCCGCGCATGGGGAATTTCAGGAACCAGATAGATATGTTTCTAAACGAGTCAGAATAGAGCCAGACCGAATTCGGAATAATATATATTGGACGACCCGACGCCGTTGCACAAGGTGAATATGTAAAGGGGAATGCCTCATGGAAACCGGACTCTTTCCGCAATGTAGTACTTCGTACAAAGCGCGATAAGAGCAAATAAAGTCAAGGTTAAATTCAAAAAGAACGAGTTGCAGAATAAACAGATTATCTCATTCAAGCATGAAATGGCCTCCGCAAGCTTCTGATTTGTAGAGACGGGAGATACCGCTCATTTTGAGGCACAGGGCTTCGATAATTGGTGCTATGAGCTTGGCAGAGAGGTAACCAGTCCCAGCAAGGAAGTTCCAGGCGTTGTATCTCACGGGACTTGCCCTAAAAGAAGAAGGTTAGCGTTTGCAGATGTTATCTTCATGATAACAGAGATAAGGCTACACTCGTGTCGATCGTCCACGGGTGCTCAGATGCTACAAATATATTTGGTTCTCTGAAGGGCTGCTATTATCCTTTTGAGGCTTCTTATCTGAGGATGGACCTACCTTGTTGGGGAAGACGCTTTTGATTTGCTAGAGAATCCCTGTATGTCATTGATAGGTACCCCGGGGTTTAGCCCACGACAGTATTTACAGTAATACACCCTTGGCTCGGAAAGCATCCCATAAGATAATCGGATCTTCAAGGTACATAAGAGCCCTGGAGTTACCACAGTTGAGCTCTTGGTTTCCCTCGGCTCTACAATCTACCTAAGGGAAAGTTGCATGGATATTGAGAGTGTACAATCATACGGACCATGACAATTTACTTCGAAACCACTGCTTCTAGGTGGCATTAAAAACAGAAAAGACTTTCATCGCTATTCTACACAGTACAGCCCCAGCCTGCCTCCTGAAAGTCCCGATTCATATTAATCAAAAGGGAGACATATACCCTCGGCGAATAATTTAGAAGGGCTATAAGAAAGTTAGCATCGAACCAAATCCTCCAAATCAACTGTAATTGACTCACGTTGTCCTCAGGGGCGATAGAGCGGTCGTAGTAGGTATCGAGGAAAGGAAGCTTGCGGAGGATATCGTTGCGCACACGGGGAACCTCGCCGAAGATGAAGAGGGCACCGCTACCAAGGGCGACACCGAAACCAGCAGCGAGGGTACCACTGTTAAGAAATTCATTAGCCCCTGTATATTGTTTAACCTGGGAGAGTTAAGTGCGGGATGTACTCACGCCTGGATGGCTGTGCCAAGGGTCATACCGGCGGCGGTGCGGGGAATGGTGTACCTGAAGATTAGTGAGGCGTTAGCTTGGTGTTCTTGTTTCTTTCTTGATCTGCCTTCTTCGGAATCCAGCCATTTTTTCAACACAGCCCACGGGTTTGTATCCCCGCTCGCTACAGATGTCAGACACCCGTCAAGCTCCGCTGCGAGAGAGTGGAATGACAGACATCCAATGAACTAGGAAAGCTGCGTTCGCAACTGACAATCTGTGCTTCATTCCCGCAATCCAACATGGCGATTATCGACTAACGTGTACTCTGTCCGGGGTGTAAGGGAAAAGGGTATGGGCGAGTCTCACTTGGGTGCATAAGCGGAGGCCTGGGCCGCGGCGCGGCGAGCGGTAGAGGCGAACTACAGGATATGTGTTAGCAATTGATGTCCTTTTATCGCGTCTCAGCCCGCGGCTCGGAAGCCGGTTGTGATGCTCATGGCCCCATTGTTCTCTACCCGGGGTGCGGTTGGGTGGGTAAGGCAATTCGGGATAGAAAATGGGGGGTTCTCGTCTTCTGATAATGAAAGCACTTACCATTTTGAATGACACCGGAGTTATTTGGTGGGACAATTGCTAGGAGACAGGAGCTGCCACTTGGTGGTCGACGAAAACCGGGAGTGCCCGAATTATCACGTGACTTCAAAGCTAGTGGCCAATCAGAGGAGGCGTAATTGTTTTCGATGTACTTGATGTACTCGATGTACGGAGTACTCGGTATGTCAATGATAGATGATGGGCTTGGGATTTTTATTTGAGAAGTTCTAGAGTACATTCCAGCCTACAATTCTACAACTAATTCATTTTTTGTTTTATGTCAGCTGTCTTCCTACCTACTTCGTCCGTAACGCATAATGTGGTTGGCCACTTAATCCTAGGAAGCTTGCGACCCTCAAGAAGCTGATCTGATATGCCTAATTCTCAAGAGTTCGTATGATGGCTGAAAAACAATGGAATAAATAAGATATGTGCTTCAAAAACCCCTCGGGCTGACATGCAAAAAGAAAAGTTCAATTGAGACAGGGTTGATTGAACAGACGCATGAGAAGAACGCAGCATCCAATCAAATACAGTGGAAACAAAAGATTATAAGAACCGCGTAGCCAAACACCCTAACTGTACATTTGTCTCATTAGTCGACTTTGTCGGTGGAGCCTCCATTCAGGAAACCCTCCTTGCCGTCCAGGTGGAAGAAGCCACCATTGTTGTTGGAGTTGCCAATAATACCACCGCGCGCAGCACTACGTCTAAGGCGTCCACGTCCAAAGATGGCGGCCACAGCAATAACGGCACCTAAGATGATGAAGAAAATGACGGGGTGACTGCTGAGGAGGGATCGAGTGAAGAAGAAGATAGTCTCGAAGGTGCCAATGGTGGATTTTGGTGACAACTTCGAAGGAGAAGCGATGACGAGAGGAATGGTCTCGAGAATGGAGGTTCGCGAGGCCATGATAGGAGCACCGCTTGAGGCAGTATCCCAGTAGCGGCGATTCTATAGAAAGTCAGTTATAGTGCTCGGAAAAACCTATGAGAGGCAACTTACATCTTGGTCGTTGATAATAACGCGATCACTGGTTTCCACATCGATACCGTAGGTTGTGCGCAGCCAGCGCTCCCAAAAGTCGCCATCGACCCAAGCAAATGCGACTTGCTTCTTGTCGTCCTCGCGGATCGTAATACGCATGTTCTTCGCAGCCCGCAGTGCACGCTGATCATTGCGGTCATCGGCTTCTTCGATACGCAGTTGCTTGGAATCACGAAGTTCGGCTCGCTCAAGGCGGAACAGTTGAACCTGCTTGTCCATCCATTCAAGAGCGGCTTCCTTCAGCTCGCGCTTGGACTGCTTGAAGTCATCGCTACGGCGGCGGCTGAGGAGTCCCAAAACCACGAACTTTCCGTCCATAATTTCTTGAGCATTCGACGCGGTGAGCTCAGGTACGATGGGCAGCCACACAGTCTGCATCCACGACAGGATTTGACGGAAATCTCTCATGTCCCTAGGAGCAAGGGCATTATAGTAGTTGGGACGTCGGTCGCGGACGACCAGAAGACGAGGCCAGGTAGAGATCTTGAACCGCTCGGAAAGAGCAGCACTGTCACTCTTGACGATGCGAGCGTGTCCCACAAGACTGAGGGTGAGGCGATTCATGGCTTCAAAATCTTCAGATGTCGTTGCGTGGTCGTAGAGATACAGGAACAAAACTTCCTCGGTTTCTTCCAATTGCTTAAAAGTTGTCGCGTCAACATCCTGGATGCTTGATCCGACACCGACAGCTTTGTTGGTGTACGAAATCAGATCACCCAGGCCACGGAGACCGGTATATTCAACTCTCTCACCACCACGGAAGAAGTAGATCGTTGGGTAGGCGTTCACGCGAGCATCTTCGCAAAGTCGCTTCTCAAGTTCACAGTTCACTTCACCAACATTGAGAGTATCCTTCATCTCCTTGGCCATCGAGTTCCAGTTTGGAGCCAGGGCTTGGCAATGATGGCACCAAGGAACGTAAAACTTGATGATCCAGGGATCATGCGTAGTCGTGACAAGGCTTTGGAAACTCTCCGCAGTGAGTGGAATAGAAACGCCCTGGGGATTAGCAGGCCGTCCTTGGAGCTTGGCCTTGACAGACTCAGGGCTAACGCCTTCCAATTCTGCGGTCTCGATGCTCTGCTTCTCAACAGCTGTTTTCGCGCCAGGCTTTACGACTTCAGGTTTAGCGGTCATTTCCATGCTCTTAGCGCCGGCCTTTGGGATTTGGACACCTTGAGAAGGCCGAGACCCAGGCTTGATCGTCTCGAGCTTGGTTTCAATCATAGCAGCAATCTCTGACATCGTTTTGGCACCAGCAGGGGGTTCGCTCTGAACTCCCATATCATAGAATGCCCATGCGGGGAAAAATTCGACCTTCAACTCTTTGCAGAAATCTGCGAAGGCCTGGCAGTTTATGGACCCGAAATGGAGATTGTAGTAGCCGGTGAAGGAGTCGAGAGACGAGAGAGCATCGGGCTTCAATCCAGAGAGGAATAAGGGATTCGAGGTCTATCACTAGTCAGATTCGAGTCCGGAAGGTTCAAAACGATAGAATAGATACTCACATAGTAGTACTCATATAGGGTCTGGTACATTGGGGCCGCAGTCCGGCAATGCGGGCAAGAAGGGGAATAATGTTTGATCATCCTAGAGCAGTTAGAGCCTTGAGCGGTTTATTAATCTCTGCAGAAGGGGCCCTTACCAGTAGCCATCTTTGGTCACTTCCTTAAAATTATCCGGGGTCAGCTGCGTCAACGGGGGCACTTCAACCCCATTGAATGTTGTGGGTGTATCAGGATCTACCCCACGATTCCCACGCTTGACAAGTGTATCTCCAGATACCTGGTTGGAGGAGGCATCTGAAGGCGTGCCTAAAGCAGGCGCTGCCAACAGTGAGAGGAGGGACCACCCTAGCCAAGACGGTTTCATTTTGGTGGAAGAAAAAAGGCGAAGAACTTGAGTAGCAGTTTAAAGGAGGGTATAAGTAGTTTCAAGGTGTCGTAGCTGAGCAAAACGAAGGACTGGTCGAAGTAGGGAGGATAATCGCGAAATGTCACAGGTGGCACATTGAATGGGAGCGAATACTGGTGACTCGGGTGGGCACTATCACGTCGCAGAAAGAAACAGCACTTAGCGACTATAGCGCCCCGTAGCTGAAAGCAAAGTAGAACTGCACACAGCCCAGACAAAGAATCAAATGTGAGAGGCTTTGATGGTATCGGAAAAGGTGAGTTGCCTTTCCCCTTGCCGCTTGGGGATGGAACATCAGGTTAATCCGCTCCGGGCCGACTTCAACACTTCATCTCCCTAGAACTGAGGGACTTCAATATCACCAAATTCCATTAACAATGCGCTCCACACTCCGGCTACTGGCCAATGTCAAGCCCCGGTATTTGGAGCCTTTTGCTCCTACCGGATTGACAGGCCTTTTCACTCACCCCAGCCCTCGCCCTACTTTAATCTACCTTTACTCGACTACTCTGCAGAAGTTGCAGGCATTCCCCGAATCCTCCGCCTACCGCCAATCCGTTGAAGCTTTGACCCGCCACCGTCTCCAGGTCATTGAATCGCAAAAGCCAGCTGGATTCGATGCCTGGTTGGAGCGTGTGCGGAAGACCGTGGGATCCGAACCTGAGCGGTTCGCCAAGGTCCAGCGCACCGACGGCAGCTTCACCCACGCCGCTGCCCAACAGAAGGATGGATCCGACAATGCTCGTGGCGAAGAATGGGACGGCGAAAGCCTGTCAGCCACAACTGAGGGTCCCGCCCGTACCCCGCAACAAGAAGCGGAATGGGCTAAAATCATGAGCGAGGCCAGCGAGACCACCGACAAGGCCGAGTTTGACTTCTACCACCAAGATATGAAATGGGAGAGCGAGCCTGCTCTTAATGCCGACCAGTACGTATCCCTACATCTCCGAGTTCTCCCCAGACAACCAGGGAATAGAATGCTAATCTCTTGCGCAGGATCTCCGAAGTCGAACAGCAAATCGGTGCCGGTCTTATTGAGGAGATCATCCAGGTCGCAGAGACAGAGCTCAAGCTTGTGGATGAGTTGGCCAAAGCCAAGGTGTAAGTTAAAAAGGTCGAAGTTTGCTGTCTAGAATTACTGCTGACACTTTTACAGGTGGGAGGAACTTGAGGAGAAGCCCCGACCTGGCCAGTGGACTTACTTCGAGCGCGGTAACTAAACAGCAATTCTGGAATGGCTGTGAATTGTAATCTCTGTAATTACTACTAGAGGTCTTTGTTTCAATACATGCTTTGTGAGTTTAATCATCTGGAGCTCAGTTAGTCGTAGAATTACAAGACTACGTATAATTTGTGTATTCGATGAATGAAATGATATCTACGACTTTTCTTGGAAAATAATTGGCGCAATTCAGGAACATTCAGAATACAGCGCTCATTGGTCTTCAAGTTCCTAATTTATACATCGGGACGATGATTGCATACATGTACGGGGAAGCATATCGCAAGTACTTGAGCTATTGTTCTTTAGTTGAAACCCCTAATTGAGGTCTAAGTCTACATTCAATAATGCCATACGGCAAATAATCAGTATAGCCCCCTTTCATGTAGATGAATTTGTAGGCTATTTGTATACCGATAGATCGACTGGAAGGCGGTGAGCCAAGGCGGGAATCCCTTGTGGACACATACATTGCTGTCCCTGAATGAAGCGCTCTCCCTCTAGCTCTCCTTCATCCCAATCCTTTCTTAATCCCTCCAATTAATAACTTGCTCCGAGGATTGCTCCTCCCTGTTATTGGGCTGTCTGAGCGGCTCGCGGAATCACCTATCGCTGTCACAGGCCCAACGCCGCATCACACAAACACACGTCTCATCCCCCACACAACATGCGGCTCGACGTCAAGGTATGCAAATCCAGACGATGAAACGCTTCATATAATTACGAATCTGCCCCCAGCAGATATAGCGATATGGTCCTGCAGGTGGACGTCCACAATTGGAGAGATTGCTGACGATGAATGTTACAGAGGCAGCTGTTTGCCCGCTCCGAGCGGGTAAAGGGGATTGATTTCCACCCTACAGAGCCATGGGTAAGCTTTGATAATCCGCTCGGTAGCTTTGCTTAGACTAATTTCTTTCTTAGATCTTGACGACCTTGTATAGCGGTATGTTTTGGGAGGGGCAGTATGCGAGATGTCCCAATGCGCTAATTACTTTCCTGTCCAGGCCATGTCTACATCTGGTCTTATGAATCGCAGGTAAGACTTGACACATATTTCCTCTCCCCCAGTTCCTATCTAAATCTTCTACCCTTTAGTCCATCATCAAAACCTTCGAACTCACTGATGTCCCCGTTCGTGCCGGTCGATTCATTGCGCGGAAGAACTGGATTGTCTGCGGTTCAGATGACTTCCAGCTCCGGGTCTACAACTACAACACATCCGAAAAAATCACGTCCTTTGAAGCACACCCGGATTACATCCGTTCTATTGCCGTCCATCCCACCCAGCCGTTTGTGCTCACAGCCTCCGATGATATGACAATTAAGCTTTGGGACTGGGAGAAAGGCTGGAAGTGTGTGCAAGTGTTTGAGGGCCACAGCCACTATGTTATGGGCATGGCGATCAACCCAAAGGATACCAACACTTTTGCCTCCGCCTGTTTGGACCGGACCGTGAAGATCTGGAACCTCGGCTCTCCCCATGCCAACTTCACACTCGAAGCCCACGAGACGAAAGGTGTCAACCATGTCGACTACTACCCACATGCTGATAAGCCATACCTCCTTACCACCTCCGACGACAAGACCGTTAAGATTTGGGACTACACCACGAAGGCACTCATTGCAACCCTCGAGGGCCACACAAGCAATGTCTCATTTGCTTGCTACCACCCTGAATTGCCTGTAATTATTTCGGGTTCAGAAGATGGAACCGTTAAGATTTGGCACGCAAACACCTATCGCCTGGAGCAGTCATTAAGCTATGGTCTAGAACGAGCATGGTGTGTTTCCTACCAGCGGGGTAGACAGGGAATTGCGATGGGTTTCGACGATGGTGCTGTCGTGGTGAAGATGGGTCGGGAAGAACCCGCCGTATCAATGGATGGGTCTGGTAAGCTTATCTGGGCGAGACACAGTGAGGTCGTATCGTCTGTGATCAAGGGTGGCGATACTACTGCCAAGGACGGCGAGCCCCTTTCTCTACCAACAAAGGATTTGGGACAGTGCGAGGTGTACCCACAGACTTTGTCACACTCCCCCAATGGTCGATTTGTTTCTGTCTGTGGTGATGGAGAATACATCATCTACACCGCATTGGCGTGGAGAAACAAAGCCTTTGGGCAAGCTCTCGACTTTGCCTGGGGTTCGAAAGACAACAGTAACGACTACGCTATCCGCGAGTCATCGACAAGTGTCAAGATTTTCAAGAACTTCAAGGAGCAGAGCGCCGGTCTTGATGTTGGGTTCCAAGCTGAGGGCCTGTCCGATGGCGTTCTTCTGGGTGTGAAGGGTCAAGGTGGCATTGGCTTCTTTGATTGGGAGACTGGCAGTCTGGTCCGAAGAATTGAAGCTGACCCGAAATCCGTAAGTTGTTCCATCTACCGTAATCTTTTGAAATCATGCTAATCGACATGTACAGGTGTACTGGTCTGAATCTGGCGAACTAGTTACTCTTGCCTGTGAAGATGATTTCTACGTCCTCCGCTACTCTCGCGAGGAGTATATCAATGGTTTGAACGCCGGTGAGGCCGACGAGGATGGAGTCGAGGCAGCTGTTGAGTTGGTTGCTACAATCAACGAGACCGTCCGCACTGGACAGTGGGTTGGAGATTGCTTCATCTACACCAACTCTACGAACCGCCTGAACTACCTTGTTGGTGACCAGACCTACACAATCTCTCACTTCGATCAACCTATGTACGTTCTTGGCTACCTGCCTCGCGATGGCCGTATCTACCTTGCCGACAAGGACGTCAACGCCGTGTCCTTCGGCCTTTCTCTCAGCATGATTGAATATCAAACAGTGGTGCTGCGCGGCGATATGGACATGGCATCTGAGATTCTCAAGGATGTTCCCCAAGACCAGATGAACAAGGTCGCCCGCTTCCTCGAAGGCCAAGGATATAAGGAAATGGCTCTGGAAGTCGCCACGGACCCCGAGCACCGCTTCGAGCTGGCTCTCGCGCTGAGCGATCTTGAAACCGCACTCACTATTGCTCGCGAGGCCAACGTCGAACACAAGTGGAAGATTGTCGGTGATGCTGCCCTGGCCGGCTGGAATCTTTCTTTGGCCCAAGAGTGCTTTACCAACGCCAAGGACGTCGGTTCTTTGCTATTGCTGCACACCGCTAGCAACAACCGTGAAGGTCTCAAGGCCCTCGCCGCCCAGGCCTCGGAGTCAGGCCTCCACAATGTCGCCTTCTCCACTCTGTGGTCTCTGGGAGATATCGATGCTTGCATCGATCTCCTCGTCCGGACCAACCGCATCGCCGAGGCAGTCCTCCTTGCCCAGACCTACAAGCCTTCGAGCGCCCCTAAACTCGCTGTCCAATGGAAGGAATCCTTAGAGCAATCTGGCAAGACAAAGGTTGCCCGCCTCATCGGTGTCCCACCCGGTGCCCCCGACGTCGCCTCTACTGATGACGACCTCTTCCCCGAGTGGGATGAGTACATTCGCCTAGAGAAGGAGGGTACCGTTCCCGAGCCCGCTTCCTCAGAGTCCTTGATTGATATCAACGGCGATGAAGAAAAGGAGCCCGTGAGCGCGACTAACGGCGTACCCGCGGATGAGGAGGCAGAGAAGGCCGAAAAGGCTGCAGTGGACGAGGCTGATGCTGCCGAGGCCGAGTAAATGAGCAAAAAGCACCGGGTTCTTTTGGTGACTTTTCAGGAGAGTTAGGTTGATCGTTTGTTTTCTGGCTGACCGGTCAGTTCATTCTTGATTGCGAGCGGCGTCTTAACGTGTGTCCGACTTTTTTTTATTTGTAATTTCGCTGTCATGTGTCTCTAGAGCAAATCACATGCCTAGATACAAGCAATATGTTTCCCTCTATTTCCAGTGGTTTCGTTGATTTACTAGATTATTGTATATGTATACTATACCGGATTTTCATTGGCCCTATACTCACTCCATGAATGTTAGTAAAGGCTTCTGTATACCTAAGTGTTCAGTAGATATAAGAACGAGCACCTACATCTAGACAAGAACATTGAATATAAGACAGTAACCCCCAAGCTACCAAGGATCAAGAAAGAGCTTTCTATCCCAAGCAGTAGTTGCTGAAGTTGGGTATGAATTCAATCTACTACTTTGCAAACACCCAAGAGGCGCGTCCACTTACTCGGTGATGAACATAGTTGAAGAAGTATGATGGAGAACTGTTTTGGCATTGTCCATTGTGAAATTTTATCGAGAATACAGAACAAGGGTGCAGACGATGACCACTTGAGGAAAGCAATGAGAAACCAAGGGTAAAGGAACCTGCCTAGAGAGAATGAACACTTGAGATGGAAGGGAGATGACCGAACAAGACAAGAAAATCAAATCGCTGAACGGACATATGAAACGAAAAGAAACAATATCCTCTCGAAGATCAGGAGCGACTCCGATATCAAGATGCCACATACTCCATTGTGATGGGAAAACGAACAATGACTCAGAACAGTGGGAAAAAAGGATCAAGATTCGTGGATATGTTAATGAAAGACATATACGCAGTTAAAAAAGGAAATGGCGTCTATGAACCTCCTATTCTCTCTTTCGTGCACCGGGAATACTCGATCTAATTGGACCTGAGAAGCTCTACTCCGGAATGCTTCCGAAGGACGGGTCTTTGACGCTGCCGCCTGCATCACCCAGGCCAGCCACGGGTCGGTTATAGGACCATCCTTCAAACTGTTGTTGCATAGTTTGTGACAGGACGGGGCCATCCACATATGAGTCCTGGGGCGCTTCCCTGGTGAATTCAACATCGAAGTTTTCAGTGTCACGGGCATCCACCTGCATCAAGTTAGTCATATGTTGATTCAATAAATGAATAGGAGTAAAATATACATACCACGTTTGGTCGGAAACTGGGTTCGTACTTCCTCTGGAGAAGCTTGCGCCAGTCAATGTTGGCAAAGAAGTGGTGAGACTTGATCTCCGCAGCACCGTTCGCACCCAGTCGGCGCACGGGGTCACGGTCCAACAGTCGAGTGAGAAGATCTCGGGCAGCAGGTGGGACAATGTCGCTGCTGGGGAAAGTTAGAGGCTCCTGCAAGATCTTGCGATACATTTCGTTGGTATTTTCATCGTAGAATGGAGGCAGGCCTGTCAGCATCTCGTAGAGCAAGACACCGAGAGTCCACCAATCCACGGTCTTGGTGTACCCGTTACCAAGGAGAAGTTCTGGAGCAAGATATTCGGGAGTTCCACAGAACGCTGAGTTTGGTTAGCTATATAGAGCTTATCATGAGTGATGAGGTTATCTTACTGTTTGTTCGGTCTTCGTCTTTCATGTCCAGCTTGCAGAGACCGAAATCGCAAAGAGCAATATGCCCAGTGTAATCGAGAAGAATGTTCTCAGGCTTGAGATCTCGGTAGATAACCTTGAAGCCGTGCAGACACTCAAGAGCGCACAGCAACTCTGCGGTGTAGAAACGGGCTCTGTTGATATCAAATCGTTGCTCCCTTTGCAAATGGTGGAACAACTCTCCGCCATTCACAAATGCCAACACGAAGTACAACTTCTCAGGCGACTGGAACGAGAACTTCAGCGGAACAATAAACGGGTTGTTGATCTGTGCAAGAACCGATCGCTCGGCAAGAGTATGTGTGACTTCCGATCGCGAGATAATGTGCGCCTTGCGAATTGTCTTAAGGGCGTAGATCCGACCAGTATCCTTCTTCCTGTGATTCCCCATCTGTTAGTATTTAAAACCAATCAAAGAGATCTCGAGTCCACCTACATGACCTGCATGACCTTGCCGAAACTACCCTTGCCCACGACCTTGAGCAAATCAAAGTCTTCTAACTTGAGACTCCGCTGCTTATTCTCCACAAAGGAAATACCAATCTTGACTGAGCCAACACCAAATTGGAGATCCAGCCACTCAGCACCCTGCTGACCCAGTTGACGCCCTTGCTCATCATGAGCTGCGGCGGCCTTCTGGTTGTCTTTCTTGCTAAGTTTCGGATCTTCCACGTACGGCTGGCTCTCTTCGAAGCGAGGATTGACCTTGCATGCGCCCAAGAAGATGTCCTCACTCCGTCCGGCACCAGGCCGGGCTGTAGGATTGCGCAGATACAGCTGTACACTCAACTCGGTCTTCCGGGACACATCGAACTTGAAGGCTGTGTTGTCGCCAGCCCACAATGGGCTCTCTGGAGTTCCCGAAACGGCATCCACAAAGACCTGGTTCTTCTCGAAATCAAGAAGGGCATACGGAAGGTATTTGGTGGAATAGCGACCGTGGATAGTGGGGGCGGCATTGATTCCCCCACTTGTGGACTGGGGTCGGCCGGACGGCACGAAGGAGCCCGCTTGGTTTTGAGATGAATGTGACGAAGAAGAGGTACTTGGGCGTAGAGAAGAGGGCGCGTAAGAGTTATTTTGGAAATGCGAATTGAAGAGCTGTTGGTAGTGAGGCGACAGCGAAAAATTGCGTCCTTCGTGGAGAGTGACAATAAGGATGCCTGGGTTAACAGTGGCCACGGGAGGAGAGACAAGAGACTCAGAGGCCGCTATCAAAACAATGACATGATTAGTTGCTGGAGAAAATTCCTATAATTATAAGAATAACATACCGATGCCATTTGTTGATGGGGTGGCGGAGGCAATACTGGGCGTGTTGGAGGACACAGGTGTCAGGGCCTCATCACCATTTGAGTCACCCTTGATCGTCGAAGTAGACGACGACCGGCCAAACGATGAGGTCAAGGGTGCCAGGTGCGTCTCCTTCAACTCTTCAAACGAGTTATATGATTAGCGACCACCCATGGCATTCACTGCAGTACAGAGAGGGGTATTGAGGGGAGAGAGGGAGACCAACTGCCAGTGAACATACTTTTAGTGAGCTTCCAGGACATAGTGGCGGTTGTTGTAAAGAGATTGAGAAAAAGAGATCAAAGTCCAAGATACCGCAATGCGTGTGCAGGGTGCTAAGAATCACCCAATAATCAACATGCGACTGGCCTCCAAAATAAACCTGGAGAAGCCACAGAAGGACACAGATAATACACACGCAAAAGGAGAGAATTCGAGACAAGACAACCACCACTATCTTTTGAAATCCGTATGGAAGCACAACTAAGGATAAGAAAGAGTCGGGGAGATCGAAGATCAAATGAGAATAAGAGAGGGGAAGTTCCCCCTGTAATGATAATACATATGTTACAAATAATTACATAAAATTACAAACTTTATTGGTCAAGCTGATCACATGTTTGTTACATAAACGTACAGTAATTAATCAGCTCAGCCACTGCTCCGCCACAAGGGTTAACGACGCATCAACTTCCACCACGGCATTAACAATCAAGGCAGTTTACCCCACAGAACAAGAGAGTTTGGGATTCAGCTTGCATTGTAACGATATCCTTTTGCCTTGATATCCCCTTCTAGGCTTCGGAATATTCCCCGCTCCGAAGTGCGGAGACACCTACCCCGGAAGATCTCACCTCAACTTGTCACCTGCAACTCTAGTATTTTTAGTCTTCTGAGTCCGTTCCTATCTCGATACAGCTCCCGACGAACCAGAGGATGAAAGGGGTGGAGGGCTAATGGGTGTGATACGCAAGAAGACCGCCTCGCGCGGCACCGAGGCCGGCACCAAGTTCCATTGCGACGTGTGCTCTATTGATGTCACATCAACAGTAAGTATCGATGTGATTCCGTCATGACAAATTGATTGGTCTATTATTTTAATCAGAACCTGACGCGTTTCCATCGCATAGGTTCGCATCTCGTGTTCGCATCCTGCCTGCCCCGAATATGACCTTTGTGTTCCCTGCTTCTCAGCCGGAAAGAGCTCCAAAAACCATGACCCCGCCACACATCCATTCCAAGTGATCGAACAGAACTCAGTTCCCATATTTCAAGGGGATTGGGGTGCCGACGAAGAATTGTTATTGCTGGAAGGTGCCGAAATCTACGGGTTGGGTTCTTGGGCAGACATTGCAGACCACATTGGAGGTTACCGCAGCAAGGATGAAGTTCGAGACCACTACTACGATACTTATGTGAAGAGCGTCAACTTCCCGCTCGCAGCCCGCGCCGATCCAGACGATAGGAGCCTGCAAGACTCAATTTCCAAAGAAGAATTCCAAACGCGCAAGAAGCGCCGCATCGAAGAGCGCAAAGATGCAGCCAAGTCAGCGCCTCCAACCACACCAAAGCAGAAGCCGACTGCCAGTGTACCGGCATGCCACGAAGTGCAGGGCTACATGCCGGGACGATTGGAGTTTGAGACCGAGTTCTTAAACGATGCCGAAGAAGCAGTGCAGCACATGACTTTCGAGCCCGGGGCTGGACTCAATGAAAACGGCGAGCCAGATGCAGAGACTGAGCTGAAGATGACCGTGGTCGACATTTACAACTCCCGCTTGACAGCACGTACTGAGCGCAAGAAAATCCTCTTCGAGCACAACCTCCTCGAATACCGAAAAAACACTGCCTTAGATAAGAAACGGTCCAAGGAAGAGCGAGATTTGTTGAACAAAGCAAAGCCACTAGCACGTATGATGAACTGCAAGGACTTTGAAGACGTCAACAAGGGTCTCGAGTACGAGCACAACCTCCGTCTAGCCATATCCCAGCTTCAAGAATGGCGGCAGATGGGCATTGGTGACTTGAAAGCAGGCGAGAAGTACGAGCAAGATAAGCAACAGCGCATGCAACGACTGCTTCCTCAGGGTTCATTTGACCGCTTTGCCAGCAACCGCCCGAAGCAGACACAGCTCACAGAGACACCAGCAGCAGCAGTCCAGCTCACAACACCTGAACTCCCGCTGCGACTACAGAAGGCTGCCAATCCTCATGCGCCGGCGGATCCTGCTGACGAACCATTGAATGATTTCGATCGGGCCTTCGCTGTCGATGGGGATGCGCCTGCTCCGCAGCCGACAAAGACGAAATACGTGGTGCCCCCACTAAGTGGGATGCCCCCGTGGAAGCTGGACAATGATACTGCTGCGGACCTGCATCTCCTAACCAAGGAAGAGGCAGAGGTTTGCAATGTTCTACGTCTAATGCCGAAGCCATATCTCGTCATCAAGGAGACACTTTTGAAAGAAGCAATGAAGCAGGGCGGCAACCTGAAGAAGAAAGATGCACGAATGATTTGCAAGGTATGTTTTTCACTGACTCTCCCAACGCGAATCCTTTACTAACTTTGTTAGATCGAGGGCACCAAAACCAGCCGAATTTATGATTTCATGGTACACAGCGGTTGGATCAACAAGGCGTAGGCGCGCCAGATCCATTTATATGCTGTAATCGCTTAGCTTATTGATATCCAAATCTACATGTGTTTTCGTTGGGGAGCGTTTCTTTTTTTTGGCGTTCATAGGAATGGGAGATGGGCGGGTTGATCTGAAAACTTGTCAACATAAGTCACAGGTAGAATATCACCTGTAATTCGCACAATTGTACAATGGAAGTAACCTACAAACCTATTCTTTTTTAGAGAAAAGAGTCGATAAATATCACCTCCAAAGTAATGCAAATAGTAATCATCCCCACACCTCATCGGCCCTCGGCATATCCAGGTACCTAGCTTCTCCGCATTTACAACCCCGAATTGCCGTCGATCTCTTTAATTTTCTATATTATTTCCTTATAACCTCCTCTATTAATTCTTTATTCTCTTCTCTCTCAATCAAAACAAATCTTCTACCAACTCCGAAGACCAAAATGCCACCTTTCACAATCCAACCCCCAACCCCCGCCGACATAATCCTCAGCTACCCAGCACCCCACGTCCTGCTGGTAACGCTAAACCGACCCCGCAATCTAAACTGCATAAGCACTCAAGGCCACTCAGACCTCCACGCAGTGTGGGAATGGCTCGACGAAGAGCCAAGCATGCGCGTGGGTATCCTAACCGGAAAGGGCCGGGCGTTTTGCGCCGGGGCGGATCTAAAAGGTAAGCCCGCCATATCCATACGAGATTACGCATTTCCCCAAAAATTAATAACTGATTCCCCGCTAACTCCACCAGAATGGAATAACCGCACCTCGACAGGAACAACAACCTCCAGCTCCACAATGCCGAATAGTGGGTTTGGTGGACTAGCGCGACGTAAGGGCAAGAAGCCTGTGATCTGTGCTGTGAATGGGGTCTGTCTTGGTGGGGGTACGGAGATGATTATCAATAGTGATATCGTGATTGCGTCTTCGCGGGCTGTATTTGGATTACCGGAGGTTAAGCGGGGGGTTGTTGCTCTTGCTGGGGCGTTGCCGCGACTGGTGCGGACTGTTGGGAAGCAGCGGGCTATGGAGATGGTTCTTACGGGACGGATGGTTGGTGCTGCTGAGGCGGAAAGGTGGGGGCTTGTTAATTCTGTCGTTGAGGTTGGTGAGAAGAATGAGGAGGAGATTGAAAGGGTTGTTTTGGAGAAGGCTTTGGGTGTTGCGGAGGAGATTTCCGGAAATAGCCCTGATTCGGTGCTTGTTAGTCGTGAGGGGGTAAAGTTGGGGTGGGAGGGGATTGGGGCGGATGAGGCGACGACGATGTTGAATGAAACGTGGGTTAAGAGGTTGAATGAGGGGGAAAATATTAAGGAGGGACTTAAGGCTTTTGTGGAGAAGAGGAAGCCTGTTTGGGTTGATAGCAAGTTGTAGAAAAGATTAAAAGATTCGATTGTCCCATTCGCTATTCATACTACAGTTCGTAAAGTCATATAAAAACACTAATCCCGTTCTCCGTCGCGCCGTGTACCTGGTATTCGCCATAGTTCATGCAAGTTGAGTTCCCAAAGTGAAATCAAATGCGCGGTTGCCCTGCCTCTCTGAAAAGTGGTGTTAGGATGTTGTGTGAGGCTGGTATAAAGGAGAGTTGCCTACTTGGTGTCGGATTGTACGCCGTCTACGACCTTGACCACATGAGGGAAGAGAGGGTGGTCTCGGTCCAAGCCGGTTAATTGGACAGCAGCATCAGCAGGCGAGTTCTCCTTGAGGACCTTAGCCAACTCAACACTCTCCTCGTCCCCTTCCACATTCTGGAATCGTAGGGCCATTTCGAAAGCGCCCATTAGGGACTGGAACTTTCCGCCACGCTCAGCCAGCTGGGAAGCCGGGCCAATGAATCGCTCTTTGCGGGACACTTTGCGGATTGGGGCACGGCCCACGCGCTCCACATTGTCCTCGAGGTATGGGTTTGAGATTCGGGTGATGATGGTCTCGACGTACTCCTGCTGCTCGGCGGCACTGATTTCATGTTTGTCGATGATGAGGGAGGCAGTCTCTTGAAGTACATCACGGACAATGCCACGGATGCGGTCGTCATGGAGGGCATCGGCGATGGTCTTCTTACCGGCATTGTAACCATAGTAGGCTGCAGTGGCATGGCCGGTGTTGACAGTGAACAACTTGCGCTCAATGTAGGGCTCCAGGTGGCCAACCCAGTGGATAGCTGGGATGTCTGGGTGACCAAACTCGCCGAAAGGCGTTGATTCCACGGCCCATTCGTAGAACTTCTCGATGCGCACGTTGAGACCACTGTCAGGGGCCTGACCGGGTACAATACGGTCGATGGCCGAGTTGGCAAACCGGGCTCGGTCTGGCATAGAACCGATACGTTCTAGGGCGGTGTTGTCCTTGATGAACTGGTGTAGAGTATCAGTGGCACCAATGGCGTTCTCACAGGCAACGACGGCGAGTGGTGTGGCTTCGGTGCGGGCATCGATACCCTTGGCAATGACGGGAGCGATGAACTTGAGGATGTTTGGGCCCACAGCACAAGTTACAATGCCAGCAGTTGCGATCTCCTTGATGACATCGCTCTCATGGGTCTTGGAGTTGATGGCACGGTAGTTGGTGATTGTCTTGGTAGATTCACCCTCATCACTGACTTCAGTGACTTGATAGGACTTGGTTTCCTGTAGGGCATTGATGATACTGTCCATGACATCAACGAAGACGACTTCATAGCCAGCAGCATGAAGGAACTCGGCAACGAAGCCACGGCCGATGTTACCACCGCCGAAATGAATAGCTTTCTTCTCCATGATGAAGGGTGTAAAAGGTGGTAGTGGAGATGGAAGTAGAGGGAGGGTATAGAGTAGAGAGGGTAGAGGGTAGAAGGTAGAGGGTAGAAGGGAGGAAGGTAGAAGGTTAAAGGTAGGTAGAAGTAGAAGATAAACTTAACGGTCGTGGTTTCCAAACCAATAGAGGGGAAAAGTGCAACTATTTAAAGGAAAAAAAAGGAAAGTATATGGACCTGGAATATTCCCGTGTTTCCTGGGAAATATGACGATGACTTCATAGATATTAGGAACTACGGGACTGGCCTCCGCCTTGTTTGTAACCTAGATGAGAGCATCATATGAAATATCAATATTATATTTCATTTTATTTCCTATTATTCCTATTATTTTCTATAATTTCTATTAATTCTATTTACTATTCCACTATTAATCCGAGAAATGTTACCTTTTACCCCCCGCTTTGTCCGTGCAACCCTTTATACTCCCCTCAAACAATTACCGCGCAGTGTTTGCGTAGTTCCTATTTGATACCATTTCCATGCGCATATACAGGACCTGAACCATTCACCGAAAAAGAGAAACCGGGAAAACCCGCACCATATTCCTATCCTTTCGCGCTTTGACAAGAACCTTGGCAAAATGTAGTCGGAGAAACGTAGCCGATAAACCGGGAAACGGAGTACAGTGGTCCTCGGTGTCTGTGCCTTATACGGAATGTATCTGCTTCAAAGTACGGAGATTCCGTGACTTGACTATTCGAGACATTTCGAGACTATTCACAAATTTCTATGATATACCCACATGTGGTGACGTCGGATGAACGGTTGATGGCCTCGACCCAGTTTTTTTTTAATTAGTTACGGCCAACCCCATCGACTCCATAATACCGAGGTTTATTCCAAGGACATCTATTACCTTCCATCTAGATTGTAGATGGCTGCCTTGCACTGCCCGACATACCTCTTAGCCCCTGGAAGTTAGGGGGGAAAGAAACCTAACCCTCGCGGTATCTTTAAGCCCATTGGCCCAACATTCACGCTCTCAGATATCCCGCAAAAAAAAAAGAGGTAAGTGGTCGGATTGGAAATGTAATTTCATTTGAAACAATTTTTTTAGTTAGATTGGCTATTCTATCGGCCAAATAAAATCTTAAGGTGGTATCGTTCCATTCATGAAAATCTCTCTCTCTATCTACTAGATGGAAAATTATATTCGATGCGAGTTTGCCCGATGTCCGCCCCCCGTCTGAAACACTACGTTCTCCGACTGGCTAGTAACACCGCTTCCTTTTCTCTCCCTTTGGTAGCTAATTACCCCTCTATATCCTTTTCAAATGCAGCAGCAGATGCAGCCCGGTTGGGAACAAAGGTATTCAGAAAGCAAGCAACGCTACCGGCCACTAATAGCCCCACTGCGGCCCAAGTCATCCCGAGAAATTTCTCTCCATAATGGGCTGACACGTTCGAGCCCTTGCCGTGAGCGTTGATCAAAGCAACAAATTCAAAGGCGATGACCGTGGCGATTATGGATGCGATACTGATACTAAGAGATCCGAGCTAATTAATGACACCACGTCAGCTTGTCGTATTCTGGGGAAATGCGATATCCAAAATGCACCAGGCTCAACTGGGAAGTACACTTGCACAGACATGCAGAGAGTTTATGTAGGGGGTCCATCACCTGGATCGTGCGGTTTATGTAACTCACCGTGAAAAATCCAAATTCAAATAGGCCCTGGCCTAATCGCGGAGAAAGTGTCGCCCATACTCGTACAAGTATCGCCGCCCCCATCGCACCAACTCCCATACAGTACAGCACGCCCATGACTTGACTTGTCAGTTTGAGGGCGTGGAAGTCATCGCTAATCACGCGTGGCCAAGTCAGTCCCTGGGCGAGGATCTCCTTCGGCCAGGCTTGTGTCGGATCAAATGAGGATAGAAGCGTGCGATTTGAGCATGCGGTCACGTTGCGTATAACTCCTGCACTGGGCGTGGTTGTCCCCAGTGTTCCCTGGCAGTAGGACATGATGTGGATGGAATAGAAATCGTGAGCTTCACTGCCGATGGTGCCTAGTGTGCCTGCGGGTGTGTACAGCTAAATGGATAGGGCCAAGTCAGTATTCTGCATCTGCCACTTATAGAAAGTTGAAGACGATCGGGATCGGCCTTACAGTCAAGAGATCCACACCATCGAGGAAGTTTCTATGCGTCCCTGCGAAGAGACATAGAATGCTGATTATAAATGCGATGAACACTGTCACTGTCGGGAATAGGCCCTTGAAGTCCAACATGGTGAATTGGGTATATGCGTTGGTCTGGTTCTATTCTTCTGCGAGATGTAGTCGGATCCAGTATGTATGTTGAGGATTGGTCACAGCAGATGTGAAAGTTCGATATTCAATGAGACGTCGAATCTGCGATTCTCCCCTTTCACAATCCTTATATACATAGTATGTTGAATGTCCGGATTGCCGGGACGATCGGGATCTAGATTTCTTCACGATAGCTTCATTCCAGACGTGGGCTGTTAGAAAGGGCGGGAGCACATGTTCTGGATAAAATCAAGATTGGATGTTCCGTGGAATGTATCCATCATGTATGATCAGGTACTCTGTAGAAGACCTCTATCTATTAGAAAGGTTAGTACATCCAGAGTAGCCCAGGTATGATGGCTGGGGAAGGGGATGGGTGTTGTCCCGCCCGCTTCAAGAATGTTTGGAATGTTGCCAGCCACGAAGGATCTCGCATGTCGACATCGCACGTGTGTTTTATTTGAGATATGAAATTAATATACTAGCTTATAAGTGAATTTTATCTGGGGGCTGGGAAGGTTTCGATCTCAGAGAGGGATCTGACAAGGCTATATAGTCGATTCAAGGGAATTGACGTCAGCGACAGGGGGTTCAAGGTATATTGCCTTGGCCAATTCCTAGACACCTTTTTTGCACTTCATAAGCCAATCTCTAATCTCTTCGGAAATTCCCTGTTTTGACACTTCAAATTCCCAACTGGTCTAGATTGTTCGGCGGCTCCAATACCTGTTTTAGTGGAAGAAGCACTAGGCCCTTTATTTTGCCCTAAGTGATCGCACAACAGAGTTAGTATTATGGTAGATTAAGAAGAAACAAAAAGAGAAAGACTAAAAAAAGAATTGTATCACTACAATCCGACCTGTTTATGTTTCTGTACAGCGCATTATAGAGGCATAGTGGTCAATGGAATTTGATTGGTCCGAGGTTTCACCTGGCAGAAAATCTTTGAGTAAAACATAGATAATTATGCCCAGGTGGCCAGGTGGCAAGCCCGAGTACCCCGAGGCCCAGCCCTGGAGGGGAGTAGTGTTGGTGGACCCCCCTGTGGGATTAGTATATTTTGTATAGCAACTCTGGACAAAAGATACATATATCTAACCTCAATTTTTCTCAACTCTCGAACTAGCTAAAGAAAAGATAAAAATAAATCTATAATTTAAGTCTAGTTGGATCAATACACTAAGATTTAATTATTAAGATATATCATAAAAATTTGTAAAGCGCATTCTTAACAAGCACTCCACAACTATATATATTGCATGTACGGAGTACATTTTTATCCATTCTCTCTTCAAGTATACCTACTCGGTAACTTTTACTAAGTTGATACTAATTAACTGAGTATTTACTCTCTATATATCTTCTTATATTCCTCCGAACCAATTGAGCGTTAAGAATATTGTGGCTATCATTATGTTGTGCTCGAGTACACTTTATGTGGACTTTCTATACAAAAGATACCTGGTCCTACAATAGGCGGATCTTGATAGGCTTGCCACAAATGCAATATCTATTTAAATATTATAGGCCAAACAGATCAGAAAGTAGAATGGTACGAACCTCAAAAGAAAACCAAAAGTGTCCATGGATACTGGGTGAGGCGGAGAGCCACCTCGGCCCCGGCCCGGAGGAGGCGTTCGATTGCCCCCGGGCCAGGTGCCCAGGTGCCCAGGTGCTCAGCCCTGGAGGGTAGGCATACTGACTAATTCACCGCCTGGAAGTTGTCCAATGTGCCGTCATCTCTCGCTGTACCTATTCTGGATGTTCGATCTCATCTCCGCTATCTTCAATTGTGTTACACGGGTGGGCAGTGCAAGGATGTAACACGTAATCGCCGAAGGGCGAAGACCCATAGTTGGATCATTCATGCATGGCGTCTATCTATCTTATGGAAGGACTTGTTTCGCTCTAAAGATCCTACCATAAGCCTTGGACTTAGAGTACAGCTTGGTAGGCTCGCTATTATTGCAGGTGGCAACACGATAATGAAAGACAATTTAAATTGATGCGAAAACAGGAGCAGTTATCTAAGATACAAAGCTACACCATCTTCCTGATTCTCCTGGCCGTGTGTCCAAGTGTGTATGTAACTCTAGAGGCTTGTATATTGTTGCCTGTCGAGGACTGAATTATAGAGCCAAGTTCCTTGTTAACACACAGAACCTTTGAATAAGCCATAGCTGTGATTGTTGTAGTAGTATTTTCCGTACTATCCTTGCTTCTCCAATCATTTGATTCATCTCACATTGCAACCATGCACTTCGAGGTGGCCCTTTTAGCAGACCTTTTTGTATAATTAGACATATTGTCTTATCGTCTGTTCCCTAAACTGGAAGTAATGTTTTTTGTCTTCGCACATTGGCCCTTCGCAAACCTATTTAGGCTATCGGAGATGATATTTGGGGGAATACTGACGTTAAGTTAAACCCTCGAGGCTGAAACATCGGGTGATTATGTACTTTATTTCCCGTCACCTGTTCATGAGTCAAGTACCCCCGTGCTAAAATAAGTGACCAATAAGTAAAGTGTACACCTTAGGGGATTACACAAGAAACTTATAATGCAACATAGGTCAGAGCAAAGTTGATAATGGCACAGTAGGATGAGCGATTAATATCTCACGCAAATGGCCTTACCAATCATATCACTAAACGCCACTTGTTATAAGACTATCGTAGCGTTTATAATGCCCTATAGGGGATAGTAACACAGCCACGTGAACCAACGTGTAATACATAGATTTACGATAAAAGAACCAACCAAGTCGAAAACTGGTGACTCGTGGGTTGCTACCCAGCATCCAGACGTGAGAAAAAGTGTGCGGTTAGTGCTGATGTGATGGAAGGATAATGACTACCTAGGTACGGAGTATAATAATCCTTCCAATAAATCTGGGTCTGAGGGCTGCTGGGCGTCATGGCCCGATCTAGATGTGGACACGCTAGGGCACAGAAAAGGAGACTGGCACTGTGAAATCCAATAGACTGATTATTGATTATTCTAGACGTTTGCCCGAGCGGCTATATCGGGTTCGAAGATATCCAATACTATTCACGGACCTTCCTGCTTGGTTATTAGTCGATTATTAGTCGACTAGTGTTTACGAAGTAGTGCCATTCCTATACGAGTTTCGGATCCACAGCGTTTAGGGAGGAGTTCCCAGTGCGGAAAATGTGCCCCGTACATAGTAGCTGAAACAGGGCAACCTTCCGGATCATCCTTCTAGAAGGAAGCTAATGTATGTAGCCTGCAAGGGATACGCCCGACATAGGGTGGAATTCCTGTAGAGAACTCCCGAGGTCGCAAGGCAAACTCACCTTGGCATGCCGGGCATCGCAAAGTATACCAGCCCCTGAACGAACCAAAATGGGATAAAGGGGAAATCAGGCAAAGTCGGGTGCGCATATCACACGCAACAGCTTGGGTGGGTACAAAAGTTTCCCAGATGCATCTCCGAGTATCCTAAACAGGGGAACCCGAGACATCAAACAATTTGAAATTTCGCTGACAACTGACCACATCATATGTGAGCACGTGCGTGCTATCAGCAAATCCAGCCCTGCAGGACTAAGCATTGTAGAAGCTCACTTGGCGACGCCTCTTGCCGGGGGCACTTATTGCTTGACAGGCCTTGGAATTGCTTGGAATTGCTTGGGCTAATCTGACAGGCTAAGCAAGCTTTAGCCAAGATGCTGGAAGGTTTGATGCAGCTATGATCGCATGTATCAATTTCAGACGCGATTTTTTTTGGTAGATGGTATAAAATTGTATTTCCACTTGAAGCAAAGTTCGCCTGACATCTCATGTCAATGATAGTATGATGCATCTCCAGTTAATACACCGGATAGATCGGAAAGTAGGACGACAGTGACACGCAACGCGATAACACGTGTTGAAGGTAGGTTCAAGAGGTTGATGGCGGAGAATGGAAGTCGCACATGGTCAAATACTGCATCCTGATTGGTCAGAGATCTGCAAGGTAGATGCCGGGGTTTCCAAGTAGCGTGGAACGCTCACTACGTCAATATTCAACTGACACGGCCTGTACTGGGACCATATGGAAATGATTTCTGGGAGAGACTTCTTTGCCTATTGTAGATATTGGCCAATTGCCTCAGAAAGTCTGAGCCAAAGCGCTAATGATATTGGATCCGAGACCGGCTCCGGGACTAAGTTATGGATAAGGCCGTTGCCACTTTTCCCGTATTGGCATTGCATTGGCATACATTGGCATTACATAGGCCTTACTTTTTAATCAAGAACTTGATATTTTACTTCATAATTAGTTCTGTATATTGTAAACTTATAATGAATTTATCATATTGTTAAATACTCCGTACATATATGTTGTAGGAGTAATTATTTTAAACGTCGAACTTAAAAAAAAGAATTTCTCGCCCCGCGAAACTTTGGGAAGATCTGCCATGAACCGCAGGCGGTGGCGATCTGAAATCCATATTCTGCCCCCACGTGCATAGTTGATTGGTTCCCGGCAGCTCCATGTCAAATCCACCTGATCCACTTTTCTCCACTAAAAGTAGAAATTCTGTTTCCGGAACCAAAACCAGCAAGAGCAGACCCATAGCAGTAACCAAGAGATGGACCCCCCCAGAAGGGCCCTGACCCCAAGACAAAGCGGTTCTTGCCATCTTAACTTTTTTTATTTTTTAAATCTTTTTTTTGGAGTGGAGACGCCACTTAATATGCCGTCGCATCTTCTCACTCCCAGTTTTCTCACTTCCTCTTTTCTTCTTCTTCCATCTACCTCTCCCCTACTTAAGGAGTCCATCGCCACTTTCTTGGGTTGAAGTCACTCATCTTCCCCAACTATTGTGGTCACATTGACTCTTCCCTCCCCCCGCAATTGATCCTGTTATCAGGACTTTGCCTTGCTCACGCGACACTTTCTTGAGTGCTCTCACGATGGCCGACTTTGGTCCTCGTGCCCCTCATGGGCCCGACATGTCGGGAACCCATAACCCACTGGAGGATATGGATATGAATGAGAAGGGTGCTTTCGATTCCCTCATTCGCCCTGATGACAGCTACACCCCCGAGGGTACCTACTGGGCTGATCTCCCGCTCTGGAAGAAGATCTCATTCGTCACCTCCTCCAACAATGTGGAGGCAAAGAAGGAGATGAATGATATTTGGGCCATGCTGAAGAAGGACCCTCTCTCGCCCATCTCCTACTATTTCCGCAACATGGTCCTCCCTGGTGCTGGTCTCGGTCTCGAGGGTTACGTGCTCTTCTCTATCGGTAACATCAAGCCTCTCTTCGAAAAGACCTTCCCCGATTGCTGGAAACACCACACAACCTGTAGCCAGCAGTGGATCTACGCTATCGACTACCTTGAGATCATCGGTATCATTGTGGGTCAGATCCTGGTTGGAATCTTGGGTGACTGGTGAGTTGCAATTGTACACCTTGTGGGAATGAGATCGTACTAACGTGTGACTAGGCTTGGCCGTCGATGGGGTCTGATTCAGGACGCCGTTATCATGCTTCTCGGTCTTGTCATGTTGACTGCCGCCTGGGGTGTGACCATGAATGGCTGGGTTATCTGCTATGCTTGGTGTCTCTTCATCTACGGTATCGGTGTTGGTGGCGAGTACCCCATGACTGCTACCAGTGGTATGGAAAATGCCGTCGGCTCTGGCAAGGTCTCCACCAAGGATGATCGCCTGCACCGTGGCCGCAAGGTTACTAGTGCCTTCTTGATGCAGGGCTGGGGTCAGTTCTTCAATCAGGTTCTGCTCATCATTCTTCTGCTCTGCTTCCACCACGGTAGTGGTAACAACCCTTACTCTGCCGTCGCTGTTCAGTGGACTTACCGAGTTTCCTTCGCCATTCCTGCTGTCGGTACTTTGTGGCTTGTGTACTACCGTGCCTACCACATGAAGGCTGCTAGCAAGCAACTCGCCGCTGCCAAGAAGAAGGCTTCCGTCACTGGTTACGATGCCAAGTCTCTGAAGCTGACCTTCAAGTACTTCGGATTCCGTATTTTCGCAACTGCTGGTGGCTGGTTCGCCAACGATGTCTTCTTCTACGGCAACAAGCTCTTCCAGAGCGAGTTCATCAAGGTGATCAGTCCCGCATCTGAGTCCGTCATGCCTACCTGGCTGTGGAACTTGGTCAATGTCGGTGTCTCTCTGTGTGGATACTACTTGGCCTCTTTCCTGATCGACAACAAGCTGTACGGTCGCAAATGGATGCAGATCATTGGTTTCATGCTCTGCTTCATTTTGTTCATCGTTCCTGCTTTCAACTTCGAATACTACCGCCGCCCCGAAAACATCAAGTCCTTCCAGACTATGTACTTCCTCAGCTCTTTCTTCAACCAGTTCGGTCCCAATTCGGTCTCCTTCCTGGTCGCTGCTGAGGTGTTCCCCACCCCCATTCGTGCCTCTGCTCACGGTATGTCCGCTGCCTGGGGTAAGGCCGGTGCCCTTCTCGCTGCCGTCCTGTACAATTACATCGATACCCAGACCAAGTTCTACGTTGTGCCTTGGTTCGGTCTGGCCGGTGCCGTGATTACCGCCTTCTTCCTTCCTGACACCACTGGTCTGGACTTGAAGGAGCAGGAGCGCCGCTGGCAATACCTCCGTTCGGGTCGTGAGGAAGAGTACCACGGTCCTGCCGTGCACCCCAAGCACCTGTCCTGGTACGAGCGCTATGTCCTGCGCAAGCACCGCTTCTACAATGCCGAACTCGACTACCAACAGAAGGTCGAGGAGTACCGCATCGAGTGGGAGACCGCAATGGCCGCCAAGTCCGCTGAGAAGGACGCTGCCGACGCAATTGACACCGATGACTCGCTTCTCGAGGGCCATGTGCACACATACTTCCACCGCACCAGCCCTATGTTCAAGGGCATGGAGAAGAATGTGTCTGCCAAGCAGGACACCTTCACCTTGCCTCCCCCTGCGGAAAGCGAGGCCGAAGATGCTTACTCCAACGAGAAGCACTAAGCGATTAGTTTGCTCGGTCCTCGGGTTATTGCCTGTGATGTGACCATGAACCCAATTCTTCTTTTTTAAGCTTAGCTATGAAATAATTCTTTTTCTTTTCATCTTGCATTTCTTTTTATTAGCTTATCTTGCATATACTCTCAAGTCACTTTTTGGAAAAATTTCATGCTTGCTACATGGCATAGCTTGCATGATTATATAGATTTTGATACCACTTACTGCGCTGGTCTGAAATAGACAAATTGCTATATCATTTTTGGAGATCATTCATCAAATTGTAGGACTTATTCTACAACTTGCGTATATACTGGATTTTTTCTAAATTTGCCTGAGGCAGAAATGCTGACTAACCTCATATTTTCTACCTGACATGGCATGGATTGATGTATATGCATCGCACATTTGATCAAATTCGTGATATCATCAAGATAAATCTCCAAAGTAAAAAAAAAAGCAAATATCATGAGACTCTTCGCCTTCGGCTCAAACGGCTCAGGCCAACTAGGCATCGGCCACGAAGACGACGTCTCCACGCCAACGCAATGTCTCTTCGAGCAGCCAGAGCCATCACAAGGATCCCAAATAACCACGGTTCCAGATGAATCTCAAATCATTACCATCGCAGCAGGCGGAAACCACACCCTCCTCCTAACAACTAGCGGCTCAATCTACGCCGCCGGCTGCAATGAAGACGGACGGTGCGGCCCGCACAGAGAAACCAAATTCCCAAATGGGCACGAATCCAAAGGAAACATCCTTCGCTTTCGTCAAATGATTCTCTCAGATCCCATCTCTGATACAGAGGTATCTAAGTTCAAACATGTCTCCGCGACGTGGGAGGGCACCATTGCTGTAGCGTCTGTGCCAAGAAACAGCGACAATAACGTCCATGGAGACAATCCCACAGAAGATCGAATCTTCGTATTTGGCTCATCGCCTAAAGGAGAACTGGGTCTCGGAAAAGATACCGTCTCTGTCACGGGGGCGTGTATCCCCTCCTTCCCGCTACCGGGGTTGAGGATTACAGCGCTGGCGAGCGGGATGGCTCATTCGGTTGCTGTGCTCTCGAATGGGGACGTCTATGGCTGGGGCGGGGCGCGGAAGGGTCAGCTTGGGAGGGAGAATCGGGAGGCTAAGGTTGCTTATTCTCCTGTTCGGATTTGTGTGCCGTTTTTCGCGGAGGCTGTTGCTTGCGGGAGGGAGTTTACGGTTGTTTCGGGGCGGGGGCAATTTGTTGTCCTTGGTGATGAGGGGAATCGGTGGGGGATATTGAATGTGCCGGAAAGTTTATCTTTGCGTGCGGGTTTGGATGATGGGGATGGGGATCATTTACAAGATGGTGAGCAAGGGTGTGGAGGGCGTGGAGGTACTATTCGCTATCGTTATACTAGTATTGCGGCTAGTTGGCATGGGGTCTATGTACATGCTGCGCCCGGTTTGGGACGGGAGGAACCGTCGATATCGGATACAAAGACAAAGTCTGATTCTGATATCCTCGATGGTTCGGTTGTTGCTTGGGGCCGCAATGACCGAGGCCAACTTCCACCGCCGAATCTTCCGCCTCCTGCTAAACTCGCTGTTGGTAGTGAACATGCCATTGCTCTTTTGGGAGATGCTCGAGTCGCGGCGTTTGGATGGGGTGAGCATGGGAACTGTGGACCTGATACAAATTCCCAGGGGAATGTGTCGGGTACATATAATGTGATTTCGCTCCCCGAAGCTGTGGGCGCGGGTGCGAAGGTTGTCGGTGTTGGAGCGGGGTGTGCAACTAGCTGGATGATTGCGAAGTGATCGCCTTTCAGACCTGGGAACGCCCAGATTTGGCGATAATTGCACTGCCCCTGATAGAGGTGGCTGCTCAGTCGAAAAGACCATAACGGCGAACCTGTCAATCATCAGTATACGGGCCGAAAAGTCTCGCAAGACCCGAAATCACATACCTGAGACAAACGCTGTGTCGGCGGGAGACCCATCTCATCCTCCGGATCTTCGAAATGAGAGCCATCCTGTTTCAAGAAGGAAGGCTCTGCATCGCGAATAGATGCCCCGAATGCGTCCTGCGTGTTTGGTTAGCCACCCGTCCTTACCCACCGGAGGTAAAAAAAAAAGACAAAACCAAAACCAAAACAAAACCACGTACCTGTGTACCCGACGCATCCCATCCAAGAATATCCTGCGGCTCCTCTTCTTCATTCATCTCATCCCACTGTCGGTCATCATCAGCAGGCACGAAAAGGCTATCGAATTCCATAGAAAGCCCAGACACCGCCGGTCGATCCGCGCTAGCCTTCTGGCTCAGATTCTCCTGCGTGGATGATCCATTGAGAGGACGGATCGATCTGCTTCGCGGTGGCGGCGGGGGCATCTGCATGCTTGGTGCCACCGATGGGTGAGTATCGCGCGGCCTGATCGTTGAGATTGGGACAGGTGCGGGAGTTTGCCGTGGGATTGTCGCTCGTGTTGACATGGGGGTGTCTTCGTTATCTGCCTCGCCGCGGGTCATGACCGTGAATTCAGCACTGACGCCTTCGAATTGGTACTCCAGCTGCAGAGGCTTGCAAGGTCGGGTGTAACGTGCTGTTACGGTAGCATTTGCCGTTTCGGCGTGTGCCACTACGGCTTTGAAGTCTTTCAGGTTGATCGCGACGTGCATGTTCTCTTCGACCATGTACTCTTGGAAATCACGCTTATCTGCTGCTACGGAAGTGTGGACTGGGTGTTTCAGTACTTCTGTTTGGGTTGTTAGTCAACTAGACTTTGAGACTTGATGGATGCGAACTCGACATACCCTTGCCCTCGGTGATTTTTGTTGTGAAGCTTGTGAACACAGCTCTGCCGGAATCGGAGTACATGTCCAGCTGCTCGGCAGATAAGCTAAAGTGCTCAATGAGCTGCTTGAGGAACCGTGGATCAGCAGTCCACATGCTGGTAGCCTTGGATTTGTCGAAGACGGCATGCTGAATTGCCGCTGGTTCGTAGGTCAGCTTGTATGACTTGATCACACCTAGATATAGTGTCAGATATATGCAATATAAACCAGGAAAGATATCTATTACCTAGTCCACAGATCATTTTCACTGTCAGTCTACATTCGGTTTGCTGCAGATCTTCATGTAATTCCATATCACAGCGTTCAACGGCTGTGTCTTTGTTTTTGTCAATCCTCCCACGGAATATGGAGAGAAGTGCCTGGATCCTATATTAGTATAAAGCAAGGAAGATAATAACCCGTAAACATGATGTAGGGGTGCAAGTACAAGGGAAGAGATCTATATACTTACTTTGATATAGATCTGGCAGAAGAACCGGTCCAGCGACACACTGCCACTCCTGCCACTACTACTTGATTTGAAAGAATACGCCTCAAAAAACACTCCCTTCTCGAACGCGAAGGAGGCAAACCCCGTCTTTGTGGAATTGAGGGCGCTGAGGCGGAGCTGGGTTACAGTTAGCCAGAACATTTCATTTGCCAACTAGTATTTTTGACTGAATTGGCCACCCTAAAGAGTAAAGTAACTTACGATATCAGGCTCTGCTTCGATGGCGACTGTTTCGCTGAATTTGGACAGGCATATCAAGGCGTCGTGAAGCCGGACTAAGGCTGGGGGGCCTAGCGACAATGAGAGCGATGTCATGGCTGCGTTAGTGTTGCTTGGGCTCTGGTGTCGAATAGAGTCAAGTATAGAATTAGTCTGCAGACATCAATTTATCTATCTCATTGAGCTCATGGGTTGTTGCCTGTTAGAAATTCGATGGTGAAGACACGGACAAACACATGATATTACATAAGCTGCTCAGCCCGCAATAGTTAAGAGCAACACTCTTGTTGAGTTCTTTCGATTTCATCTCATTGCATTCGATAAATTATTAGCTTTCCCATAAAACCGGGAAATAGATAACAGGCTTGAAATTACCAGGAAATTGCCACCTTCAATACTGAAAGTGTATGTGTTATAGCTAATTTTCTATATCCGAACATAAATGAAGGCTTACATGTACAACAGCCTTGGAGAGGTAAAGTCACAGATGATGACAAACGAAAAAAAAATGTGGAAATATCGCAAAGCTTCATCAAAAGGGGGTATATTGCTTGTGGGTAGAAGATGGTAGAAGTATGGATACCAAACTAGGGTAAATCTTGGATATCAGATATGTCTGATCTCACCATCCAATATCAGGATCATGTATCAGGACCATGTCCTGTGACGGGACGTCCCTCCACGTCATCTCGTGCACTTTCCTCTGCAGCATTCGTATTGATCACAGGATCTCTATTCAAGACATGGTCTTGTTCCTGACCCCGCTGGGGCAAGGGTTGCGGAAACTGCATTTCTAGAAACCGTCGTCTGCGTCTTCCGGTTCGAACAGCATGCAGAAAATTAACACCAACCTGGGCGAGAAAAATCGTTAGGAAGGCGCCAATCACAAATGCCTGATGGATATATGTTTCATCTTTCTGTTCTTGTTGGCCAATGTCGCGGGGGGTATCACGTTCGTTGAGTATTTGCGAGCTAACACCAGGGAGCGGAAGATCAGAGCCGCCAAATGAGACCGAGACCGAGAAAGAGAATGGCGTCAATGATGTAAATACATTCGGCGATATCGAGGTGAAGACTCCCGTCAAGGGCCTCAATAATAGAGGGATAATGCAGAAAATGAGGAGAGGGACGGATAGTCATAAGACAGAGAAGAGTGATGTGCGAGTAGACCTGGTGGAAAATGTTAGAATAGTATCTAATAAGGAGAAAAGATGTGGAACCAACCAATTTCGAGCCTCGAGCTGTCTCGCCCATTTTACCGAGATTTTGAGTCTCTCGCGAACACTTGTCGCGGCAAGTATTGGATATTTCTCTTCTTCGGAGATGGGCAAAATGCTCGCAAACCACCACGGGAAGCGGGCTGCATCTGTAGGAATGGGTCCATATGCTAGCATAACGCGCGGGTGCAGCCAAGGAGCCCCCGATCTGCGCTGATTGCTGATGAATTCCCTTGCTGAGAGGAGTAACTGTTGAGTTGGCATTGAGTTTAACGGAGGACCAGATTCATTCCCTTCTGGTAGAGCATATCCACTATTTGCAGAGGTCTCCACCGACTCAAGCCGCTCCTCCTCTGCAAGCGAGATATCATCTACGCGCTCTGTTTTGGCAACATAATAGCCATCCCGCATTCCTGAGTCGACGACCTTAAACCGCGACACGCCGGTAGCCACCACAAGACTGCGACCATCCGGAAGCAACTCATATCGCTCGATCATCAAGAGCGTTCCGTATTGCATAAACGGTGCGTCACGCATTTGACCTATCTGTACCCGCCCTGCCCGGTTGGACATGACCATGCCGAACTTTCCGTTTCCACTTGTGAGAGCCCGCCGAATCATAAGTCGGTATCTAGGCTCGAAGACATGGAGGAAAGTCGGCATTGTCGGGAATGATAGCGTGCACACAAAAAGTGGCAAGTTTCTCTCGGAATCCAGGCCTGTCTCATCCTGGGCGCTGTTCTCCCGCCTGACTGAAATCTGGTCGGGATAAAAGTAGTCGATCAGTCGCGCCACAGCCTGATTTATGGGCTCTGACAGTAGAGCATTCGGCATATCTAGCTTTCGGCGACAAATGGGACACAGATCGGTATGGTCTAAGACCCGCTCAATACATTTTCGGCAGAAAGTATGGCCACAGGGCGTGGTCATCGGATCCAGAACGAGTGCATAGCAAACTTGGCAGTCTAATTCGGCGCGGAGACTGTCTCGCAGTGTCTGGAAGTGGATGAGGTCCTGTTCTTCTATACTCCCATCTGGGAGTAGAGAATCCCCATAGATGACCTCGGATGCATCAGACGGGAACCGGCCTTCTAGTGACAGGTTATAGATCCCCCTCAGCCACCCATGTCGCTGCAACTGTCCACTGCCGCTCTCGTTTTGCCCATCAGTTTTCCACCGCAGTAATAGTCCATCGTCATCAGACCAATCTTGAGGCACGGTGTTTGCATCTCTCCCCAATATTTCTCCAAAAATATCGACCAGTTTCCCAAGCAGCACGTCAGCGCCACAATCTCCAACACAATGGTCCCCAACGCACGCCTTGTTTCCTTTCCAAAAACATGTAAATTCCTGGTCCCTTCCTTCAGCTACTGGGTAAGTAATACCTATCCGCGGCCGACAGGCGGGTAAGCATTCCCGACAGACTGCATTGCCGCATGGTAGGCGAAGCGGACTTCGTAAAGGACGGGAGCATTGCTGGCATTGGATCAACTGGATGACGAGGTGAGGTAGATATGCTGTATCGCTAGGTGTATGCTCTTCCGAGCTTGAGACATCCGAGCTTTCCATCACGGTCGGAATGGTCTCAACGTTTGTCAGGTGAAGCTCGGGGTTGGGGATCCGCTATCTGCACGTGCCCAGATGTGGGTCAACTTTAGATAATCGGATCAGTGGCCCGTCTCACGAGGGGTATCACGGTATGTCGGTATATCATTTAGCCGGTGAGATATTGTCCCTTTATACCAGCTCGGCCTGGGTTTTCGAATGTAACCGTAGTACAGAGACATATAGCACAAGAATAGGCGGCTTATGCGGCCTTTTCATATCGTTCTAGATGTTTGTTTAGATACATTCTCTCCTTGCTCCGTTCCATAGGAAAAGACTGGGGCTTGAAACCCAAGCTGAAGCCGCCAGACACGGACAATTTACTTTTAGTCTAAATGCAAGAGAATTATGAAGTAAAAATTGGCTCAATAGGATGGGAGCGATTCTTTCCGGGGTTATTGAAGATGTCCATTGTCTATCTATCAAACCCACGCGGTCTCAACGTCCCAAGACCCCTCATTCCTACTGCCCGCCAACTTGCTCTCCGAGCGATGCAAAAACTGACCAAAGCCTCGAGCACCTACGACGCCTCCGTCTTCCCGGTCCCAGACCACTTGTCCACGAAGTACAGTGTAGCGCGGCCACTGCTTTACTTTTTGTCCCTCGAAAGGAGTGTAGTCGACGTTGTGATGAAGAATCTCATTGGTGATGGTCATATCAAGACCCGCCGCTGGGTACCAGATGACAAAGTCGGCATCACTGACCATCGGGATAAGAGCGCCTTTCTTTGGGTACATGCCATACAATCTGGCCGGGTTAGTTGATGTCAGCTCCACGTATCTTTGTATCTTAAGTCGATCAGCCGAAAGGACCAGTGACATTCGGGTCTCGACACCAGAGAATCCGTTGGGAACTAGGTGGAACTGCCCCTCCGGGTGTTCCGCAGTCACGCTGGACCCTTTTCCAGATGTCGAGTCGTTGAAGTTGAACGGAGAGTGGTCCGACGAGAGAATGGTAAATGTTCCGTCCTCGAGACCGGCCCATATAGCTTCGTGGTCGGATCTATTGCGTAGCGGTGGACTGCAAACACACTTCGCTCCGTCAAGGCCAGGCAAATCCACGTTTTCGCTGCTGAGGAACAGATATTGAGGGCATGTTTCAGCATAAATTGGAAGCCCATTAGCCTGGGCTTGTCGAATGTTCTCGACGGCTCGAGGATTAGAGACATGTACAATTAAGATAGGTGTATCAATAAACTCGGAAAGACAGATCGCACGGTAGCTTGCCTCAATCTCGGCGACGGCGGGATGAGAAGCCGTATGATACCTTGGTGCGTATAGGTTGCGCTCATGTAATTTCTTGGTCATCCACGTAATCACAGAGTCGTTCTCGGCATGCACCATAGTTGTGACCTTGTGTAGGCGGGATTGAAACAAGACATCCAAAAATTGCTCGTCATTGAGGCGCAAAGCTTCGTAGGTCATGTATATTTTGACTGACGATATTCCCAACTTTCGGAAGGCTGGAAACTCCGCAAGCGTGTTTGCGCAAGGGTTGGAGATAATGAGATGGAACGAGTAATCGCTGTAGCACTGGTCACGGGCCCGCTCATGAGCGCTTGCTAGGGTCGCAAGAACGCTCTCTTCATGCTTTCGTTGAGGTGCAAAGGCTATGATAGTGGTTGTACCTCCCGCAATCGCGGCGCGTGTGCCTAGGAAGTGTGTCAATTAATGAAGAAGTTAATCGCCGGCCCTAGAGACTGAAGGACTAACCAGACTCAAAGTTGTCTGCAGTGGAGCCGAGTCCAAAGAGAGGCGGCTCCTGAAGGTGAACATGGGCATCTATCCCTCCTGGCTTGAAAGACGGTTAGCATATGGTCATGAGTCTACTTGTGAGAGGGTGAAGGTGGGAGAACAAACCGTAACCAGAGCTCCCTTTGCATCAATGATCTTTTTGGCCTTTATGCTAGCCAATGTTCCTTGAGGGACAATTGAGTGAATCTTCTCGTCTTTGACGCTAATGTCACATTGTACAACGTCTTCAACAGTGGCCAAAGTGCAGTTCAGCACAATGAGATCCAATTCGAAATTCAATTGTTCAGCCATATTTAAGAGTAATGAATCTGGAAGATTCTAGGTTAAATGAAAGCCGATGCATTTCGGACTACCAACAGGCTATTAAGAGGGGGCATCGTTATCGGCTGGCGAAAAGGCGGGGGCATCCTGTCGGCAAACAAAAATTGCGCTAGTTCGGATTCGGAGGCAGCCAAGCGCTTTGCATCCATGGATCGTTGCGCATACCACGTGGCTGGAAATGTTATCTATGCTCCACAGTAGATAAGCTATCTGTGACTCGTATACGGAGTATGAAAAGAAGATAAAACGCAATGACCTCGGGAAGTCGTTTCATGGGTTCTCATTTTATTAGAAAGAGGATTTGAGCGTGAAATATGTATATGCAATATTGAAGTTACCGTTTGAAAGAACAATGTGACAGATGATTCAAAGACTAGCCTTTAACGGTATGCATTGGAAAGTTGGCCGCCAAATGTTACTTTCCTTGTCGTATTGATTTCTTGAAAATCCTAGATATAGTTGGTTTGGATCATGTGAGAATGGCGCAAGGTCTTCCTCAGTGATCCATGAAGGTTGCCACTCATTTGGTCTGAAGATACTGTAGTCATGTATACGTGCTTCTTCGGGGATGAGTGCTGCTTGTGACCCGGCTGTCTCATGCGCTGTTATGGCGGTTGATATACCGCTCGAAACACTGTTGTTGGGAGCTTTATGGAGTAATGCCACCGTGTTATCTTGCCTCAGGGCAAGGCGATAGCCCTCTTCTAGGTTCATCAACGTTTCTGACAAAAGAGCCACAGGGACGCATTTGAAAAATCCTTGTATCGGAGGCGCTAGTCGCAATAGATCCAAAGCCCTTCGCCGCAAGATTGGATCACGGCATCTCAGCACAGTCATGGCGAGGGGAACCCCCACACTCATCTCAAATGTGAATGGTGGTTGAGCGCCATTAGGACCAGCGGAGGCATCGAGAATCAACTTAGATTGCTCGACAATAGTAACAAAGTCTAAAAAATGGCCGTCGAAAACAGTCTCCTGTTGCCTTAAGCATCCTGTCACACAAATCAAAGCAGTAGCATGATATGTGAGTAGAATAGGCTCTGGGTATATGGGGACAGTGGGTACGGAGCTGTTCCTCTGGCAAACATTGGTGTATAAGCGATGCCACTCAGCAAGACTGACTCGGAGCGCTTCTTTTTTTGCGACCATTTCTGGACTTACAGCGTAATCCGTACCAACTGCCTTGAGGTGTAAGCTCGCTTCGCGCTCAAAGAGGATAACTTGCGCAGCTAGGGCGGACAAAGCGGTTCTTGCTGAATCGACAGACGCGAAGCCAGCACTCATGTCCGTTTCTACAAAGGCAAAAAGTTCAAAAGGAAATTGAGTTCCTGAAATGGTCAACGAACTCGTGCCTAGTCGTAGAAACAAGGGCACAATGCTGCGCTCCAACAGAACAGCCCTGCTAGTAGATACTCTTCCATGATCAATTTGGGCACGGAGGTCAAGTATCAAACTGATACCCTGTCGGTAGAGCTCCAACGCCTTCTCCATACGTCCTTGGATCGTCTCCACGCAGATAAATAGTGCGCAGCTGATGAGTGCAATATACGGATCTGCGCTGCCTCGCTGGATCTGCGAAGAGACACCAGAGATTGATCGCGAGTACCATGTCAATGCTTCCTCCTGAGCCCAATCAAATAAAATTGCCTTTCTTCGGTGGTCCTTCAAAAAATGGAAGTCCATGCACTGCTTCGGATTTTCGTATAATGCGCTAATTGCAATCAGTGCGTCCCACACGGCGGGCTCACTGCGGCAGATCTGCGGAACTACCCCCGTCCAAAAATCCACATTCATTCCACCTGCGAGATGTTGGGACACATGGTGGAAGTAATATGCAAATGCGCGACGTTCTCGTCGTGTTGCATTTTGAGACCATGACAGTGCGTGGCTAGGTGTGGAGGGAATCCAGGGAGGCGTCACTCTGCTCTCATATTCACATTTGCGTCCTGTATTAGAGCAGCGAAGACAACTGGGCTTCTCCTCGCCACATTTGACCTTTCGGATTCTAGTCGAGGGTCAGGATTTAGGGACTCTGAACACTGCGGCAGAAACTTACTTGCAGGTTGTGCACCCGGTTCGAGATTTGACGGCCCCTATACGGCGGCTCATACCTGAGGAAGATCGGTTTATGAAGGCATAGAAGTTTGGTTCCTACTTCCAGAGCTACCTATGGTTGGATGTGGTTACAAAGTACTTGCGCCTTGCCCCGTGGGATAGCAGACTCTGACCGCCCCCATAAAGCGGGGGCTTAACTGGACTTCGGGGATCTCAACGGGGTTGCGCCGTGAATAGTATATTCTAAGGAGTGCATTCGCGCAAGTTGGGTACAGTAATTTCATGCACAATGTCGATTTGAGAAAGACTTGGGTATCCTGGGGGTTACGAGGCAAGGAGGATTTCGTGTGCCCTGCGCTCATTGCAGAGAGGACGGGATATCTGATGTCGCTGATTCCCTCTTCTTTGCTAGAGTTTCGAGTCGAGCTTCCATTCAATATGAATGATAAAATCAGACAATATAGCTACCTCGAAAGTTCTACTGCCACCCCCTGTAACCACCATCGGATATTGATTTCATGCTGTTGGAGAACGGCCATCTACAGCCATTGTCCTTTGTTAAGTGTCACAAAGAACAACCTAGGGAGATATATGGAGTACCCAGACAATTTCTCTGGCACATCACTAGTAGGCAGCACTGGTAGGCAGCAATGCCGATCACGTCCAGAAAGCTCCCCCGACACTAGCCAAAATTTGCATAGCCGCATTCAGGATCTTAGGGGGCTGAAAGAGAATTAGATAAATGAGATTCCCACACGGCATCTGAAGGGATTTCGTTCATACCATACATCACTCCATCCAGAAAGCTCGTCATCCATCTTCAAGCTCCCTTCACGATGCCGATCACCAGCGATATCATCCTTGATATCTCAAAGTTCCACCCAGAGAACGTCACAGAACCAACAAAGAAAGCCGCAGCTTTCCTAGAAAACATTAGTACCACCGGGCCCCGATGGTGGGAGGTAGGCATCGAAAAATACCGTGAGATGCGGGAGCTTGGTCAGACGCCGCTGCCCAAGCCCGTCTATCTCCCAGAGGCTCTTGATGGGACTGTCCCTTCGCGTGACGCTGGCCGTGAAATCCCCATCCGTATATACAAGCCCGATAATGGCCAGCCTAGCAAGGGCATCTTCCTGCACTTTCATGGCGGTGGTTTCGTACTAGCAACGCACAAACAGTGAGATTCTTTCCGTTAATCTTTTTACCCAAGCCTGCGCAAATATTAATGTCTTGGACAGCTCCGATAGCACCCTCCGGGAATATGCTAACAAGTGCCAACTAACGGCCATTTCAGTTGGATACCGTCTGGCCCCGGAACATCCCTACCCGGCTGCGATGCACGATGCTATCGATGCCGCTGAGTACATGGTGGACCATGCAATGGAGGTATACGGCGCTCCCCTCCGCTTTATCGGTGGAGAATCAGCAGGGGCCTGTCTTGCAGCTCTGTCGGCCTTGCAGCTGATGCGGTCACGGCCGTCTTACAAACTGTCGGGTCTCGTTCTTCCTTATGGCTTGTTTGATCTGGGCCTAGGTCTTCCCACGGTGGCGGCTTCGACCAAGCCCCTCATGATAAATTTGGAAATCATGGAGCGGTTCAATAACGCATATGTGCCAGGCATGAGCACCGCTGAGCGCAGACGTCCCTGTGTGTCCCCGCTATACGAGGACCTCCAAGCACTGGTTGCGGCCTCCTCTGTTGGATCGTTACCCCCCGCTCTCTTCCTCTGTGGAACGGACGATCCATTGCTTGATGACACGATCATGATGAGTGCTAAGTGGAGCATTGCCGGTGGCGAGGCTATCGTCAAGATCTACCCTGGTGCCACTCACGGTTTTACTGCGTTTCCCGGTCTTCCCGTGGCAGAGGAGGCAAATGCGGTGACACTGGATTTCATTATGGATAAATTGGGCGACTTGGCGTGATCAATGATAGTTCCAGATGTTTACCAATTCGGCAACTACCCAATAGCAGTGAATAATGGAAATCTTGGTCCTATTTGCATAAGTTAGTAGTTACCCAGAACTGATGTACCTCTTATTCCCTTCGTATCACGATACAGGTGGGCCGTAGTTGAGAATAGTTTCAACCGAAGACAATATCTAAGGGGGACTGGTTCCCTGACCGAGGTCAAACTTACGCATACCCTTGACCTACCTCGGTCAAGAAATCCGATACACTCAGGCCAATTTCTGAAGGTCAAACATCATATCAAAAATCTGTTTTAGAAATTTTGTACCCCAGCATACTGCGTTATGAGGCATCCGGAATTTTTAGAAGTCATAGATTGAACATGCGTAAATCGTCGCTCAGGATACAAAAAGCCAAACACCCAATCAGCCGACAAGCAGGGTATATTGGCAGGACAGGAAAGTACAAATGAAACGAAATGCCCAAAGAGTTTATTCTGACTGAGAAGTACCTGACGAGTCCGATTCCGAGTCGGAATCTTCATCGAGGACGATTCGTCTCATGACACTCTTGTCAAATAAGTCCAGGGCGAAACGTCGAGCTGGGAGTCTGTAATGGTGACTTTCTAGGATGCATAGGGTCTTGCGGAAGAGATGAGTTTGGTGAAATCGCTCAGGTTGTTTGGATTTTATGCTGCAGTTGAAAATTTTGAGCAAATGTGTCAAGTTAGAGTGGGAGAAAACTGAGAGCCTTACATGTGAAGATCAGAAGCGGCTCGTTTGGAGAGCACCGTGTTGCCCATATCGACGATCAACTTCAAGATCCGTTGGTTGCCGGGATCGGAGTCCGTAGTGGCTTCCTTGAGTTTCTCTTTGGGAGTTCGCTTCAATCTATGATCAAAGCCAGGGAAGGAAATCTAGATGGATGAGCATAATGAGACGAAAATCAAATAACAGAAGATACTCACCAAGAACAATTTTCGGAAATCGGTAGGGAGACAAAGTCCCAGTGAATCTCCCTTTTGGTCCACGCCGGAATCCCAGCCTAAACCCCGCAGGACTTGGAGTCCGTGTCGACTGCGAGAGATCAAGCCCAAAACGAAGAAAGCAGTGCCTCGCATAGTAAGCACTCCTGCACTGGTTGCTATTTGCACGATCCGTTCGACGATCTCAGCATCTAGGAATGGTGCACCGAGTTCCATTGAGCCGACATTACCAACAGCCCAGAGACATCCTTTAGCCTTGAGAAGCAATTCGTTGTCTTCTTCGTCAAGTCTAAAATCACGAATTGTCCAAGCAAATTCATTGAAATGACCCGATTGTTCCAACAACTTACACCCCTCGGCAGTTCTTGCAAGTTCTCGGTAGAAATGCGGTGGTACCAACCCAATATCCTGCAGATCCACCAGATCCTCGGGGATAAGGCTGTTTCGTCGCGGTTGCTCGACATAAGCTCGGGAAAGAGCAGCCTCAACAAGACCAACATAGCTATCGTTGCGGCCAAGGAACCAGTCATCCATTTCTTGGGTGATGTAATCAAGACCATCCAGATAGTGATATCCAACGGAAGTTGATAGGAATCGGAGAAGAAGCGGTGCGCCGATTTCACCCAGGTGATCGAGGGAAGGTCGGCATTTGACCACGAACTCGAGATAATCGCGTTGATTGCATGCCTCTTCAAGTATTTTCACAGCAACCTGGCAGACAGTGACCTCAGGATCGTACAATTGGGTAACAAGAAGTTTGACTACCCATTCTGCATTGCCAATCGCCACGTGAGGCGAAAGTGCTAAATCCCCGACAGCATATTTGCGCAGGAGTCTCGTTGCAAAGATCCGGATTTCCTTGGAACCAATTGTCAGGGCCTTAGAAAGCATGACCCGGAGATGACTTTCGCGACTGTAGTCCATGTTTCCTAACAAAGTCTGAATGAGATCATTCCGGTCTCGCAGCTCAATGATGTGATAAAACATGTTGAGCATATGCCATCGTTCCATCATGAGCAGCCCGTTTACATCACCACTCAATGCTCCTAGCATTGCAAAGTACCCTCCACTTAGAGTAGTAGCCATCTGATCTTTGGAGAAAAGTGGGGACGTAGACGTTAGCCCGCTCATGCGGTCCAGCTGGGCCAGACATTCTGCAACCTGGCGAAGGAATTTATTCTCCGCCAAATACTTAGTGCCCTCGGGGGTCATAACGAGAGTGCGCATGAGAACACAGCCGGTTCGAACATATCGCTGATTTGCCTTTGTGTTTGGAACCATGGAGAACCGATACTTGAAAGGCCGGTAAAACCCAATGAGACGTTTCATGAACTTGGAGCCTTTGATAGCCTCGTCCATTCTTTTCGGATTTGTGAGAGGGCCCTCCACTAGACGATGAATAATGTCCCATTTCCACTTATTGAAGTTGACTGTGTTCAGGACGTGCGTCTCTAGGATGGCATTGCGGAACTGGGTCTCATCCATGGAAGGGCTCATCTTGTCTTTCCCTTGCTCCACGGGAAGCAGAGAAGCCGATAAATCAGTCTCCATGTTGTATCGACCCTGCCCACTGGGATATCCACCAGAGCGCGCCAATGTCCGGTTAATACTATCGATTTGGAAGATAGTTGCGGTTGAAAGGTCGTGATTCTCAGTTTCGAAGTCGATTGCGGGTGGAAGAAGGTGTGGAAGGACTTGAAGTTTTGCACTGACGGCTTGGGGCAAGGAATGATGGGCGAGCTTGAGAACCTCCGTTAGTAGCAGGGTTGCTTTGCGTCTGAGAGAGAGATCTGCTTCGTCCTCAATGACATCGGAGAGAACCTGTACATGGTCAGCTCTTGCACTAGGCCAGGCCTATAAAAAAGAATGCATACATTTGGGAGCCCTGCCTCTACCAAACCGGCCAATATGAGGGTAGAGAAATGAGCAGTCAAATCGAACCTGTTGCTATTAGTGTCGTTGAAAGAGCGGCTGGTTCTTGTTTCGACATCAGAGCGAAGATTCGACACTCTGCCATAAGTTGTGAGTCGTCTGCCTGCAAGGAAAGATGAGGACCAGGAAGGAGGTTTTATTCGCAGAGCGTCGAACAACAGCTCCATAATGAGGTCTCGGGCTATGGGGTCATTGTAGTGAAGCGAATCAAGGAGAGAACGCAACGGTTGTGAGTCATGCCTTGCAAGAATAACCAGCCCGGGCCAAGTCTTGAGCATCGTAGAAATTGCCCGCGCTGCAGACTTTAATCGCCCATTGCGTAGCGTATCAGATAATGAATCCGTGAAAGGTGTAAGAACAGCTTCAAGTTCAGAACCTTGGAGAAACTTTCGACTACGGGGGGTGTCCACAACATGCAGGAAACTTGATATCAGAGACTCCGAGGCGCCGAATGTCCCTTCTGCAAGCGCATCATGAAGGGCAGCAAATCCGCCGGCAGAAGCAACCAGTTCAGGATCTTTGACTAACATCTCAGCCACAGTCATGATTGAAATGTTCCGAAGACGATCTTCATGATGTTCAGCAACCGCAACGATGGTCCGCACAACGGCGCGTGATATCTCTCGGACACCGTCTTTGACATCCAAAAACCCTCTCACAAACTTCAACGCCTGTTCCCTCTCAATGCTTGCCTTGGTTTCTTTAACCAGGGACAATATGACAAGCTCATCGGTATGGAGGGTTCGGATTATTTGTAGGGATTTGCGATCAGCGATGGCATAGCGTGTTAGTCGATAGCCCGCAGCTACCACCTCTTTACTGTCACTCAAAAGCATGACTTGAACCCGTAAGCCAAAAACAGGCCATGCGAGGTCATACTTTAATGTAGGGTGCCGTTTGAACAATTCAACCAAGCTGTTGGCGCGCTCGACATAGAAATCAGGAGACATTCCCTCTATCTCCAACGCCTGCAGCGTTTCCGAGAGGACATAGGTTGGCGACTCCACATCACCATCACCAATTTCTTCCCCATCGCCGTTGGCCGAGCCGATAGCATCCTTGTTTCGAGATGGTGAGCGCATGGGGCTAGCTCGGAAAAGACTCGAAATGCGGCTACTGCGTGGAGGAGTCGAGGCCGGCGCTTGCGCACGTAATATTTCTTCTTCCAGCTCATGCTGCAATTCGACCAACTTGCGGTTCGATGAGCTCAATTCTGACTCCACCTTGAGTCGCTGTTCTTTGGTTTGCTTCAGTGGTTTTGATAACAATGCCTCCAGCATATTCTCGGTTCCACTCTTGATCTTCAATTCCTTCGCGATCCTGTCTCGCAGGAACGCCTGTCGCTCCTCGGTTGTGTGAAAGTCCTCCTCGCCGATCGATCTGCTCGCACGCCTGTTGTATTGGCCGTCCGGTCGGGGTGTGACACTGCGTGAAGTCGAGCTTTTGAGCTCCGCACTAAAGCTACCTGGCCCACCAATGGAGGGAGCTAATGAGGGCACAAATGATCCTCCTCGTCCGCCCATGTTGCTGCTCCCTCCAGACTCGGACCGCCTGTTCCTCCCAGTCCTTGTGATTCCATCCTGCCAGCTCCCATCGGCGGAGCCGCCATCCTGACTGAACGAGGAGCGTCCATCACCTAGTGCACGATGATGAGTCGACGCGGAGTATGCTGAGTTGTGCCCGGAAGCCATAGAGCTCCATCTAGCCTTGCTGGCCTCGCTATCATCTAACGCAGGTGTTCTGAATATCCGATGGCTGCATTGAGGTCGCTTGTTTTAGAGGGTCGAGCGGAGCGGAGCAAGGGCAGTATGGGGAAGCGTAAGGGAGGGGCGCAGTCACAGGTCGCTTGATGATCAAAGGGAGATAGTGGCCATGTCCACCTGTCAGAATAGGGCGATCAAATGTTAACTTGAACAACAGCAACAGTCAAACTACTGTCCCACGAGATACTCAACTCAACCACCTTGGCAGATCTCCAGGGTTGGAGAAACAAACCGCTGACTAAGGAATCTTATCGCTCCACCCCTGGAGCTTTGCCACACCATGCCATGGATGTGTGAATAGCTGGATTTCTACAAAAGGGGGTCTTTTCATTTATTAAAATAAGTGGTGATTTCAAAGTGATGTTCATTTAATTTACCATGGAATCTTAAGATCATAAATTCTGAGAAAACTACTTGAAATCCCGCTGTTCCTTCCCAGTCTTGCTCGTACTGATAAAATGCACTCACAGGAATATCCGATATTGCTATCAGCTCATTAGTTATTGGAGGTGGTCTTCTCCAAGATGGTCTTCATCATCTCATTGCCAAGCGTGGCAGCTTCAGGGAACCGCGGCGCAAAGTACTCCGCAATCCGCTCAAATCGGTGCCGGTAGGACTCAAAGTCACCGAAAGAAACACAGTCGGACCATGCCTGGTAAAAGCATCACGTTAGAATGACTCTAAAAGGCGCCGGGGTATTATCCAACACATACCCTTGCTGCAAACGTGAATTCCAAATCATCCGAACGGAAAGTGCTGTCATCGATCGCGGTATCCAATGCCTCTTCAAGGAGATCCTCGTTGCGGAACAAGTATTCCGTCACACCCAACCAGAGACGGAAAAGCTGTATGATATTAATACAACCGCATCTGGCAATACCATCATCATGACTGGATACATACCGGCGTGGAACAGATCATATGGTCGTAAGGGACAATGCCAAGTTTCGACCAGCAGTCAACAATAGCCAGCAGACTGAGGTGGCTGTTCGGTGGCGCCTTCTCACGGGGCCGATTGGACAGAGAGAACCGATCCAGTACCTCGTCCTTCAACAACAGGTCTTGTCCTTCGGAGCCAGGTCTGAAAACTGACGCACCTGCAGCCTTCACCCGACGCTTGAGCTCCTCCCTTTGTCCTCCAATCATCAGTTTGTACAAGTCAGTAACCGACTCGGCGTACTGGCGAATCTGCTGCTTCGCCGCTGGGTTGAGGATGGCGAGTCCGGCATAGACGTGCCATTTGTTCGAGTAGATGCGCAAGGTGATATTGATCTTGACATTCTCGATGCCGCCCACCCACCGTCCATGCTCCCATGGGAACTGATTGTTGGCTTGCCAGGCGGTTCCCATGCTCAGGAAAGCAGCATGGGTGACAGCCTGTGTATCGGCGGTGATACGGTCGTGCATCTCACCTGTGAGATAGACATGTTTGGAGCCGAACGAGGAGAGAATGGACTCAACGAACTTGAGGCTTTCGTCCGAGGCTCTGTGTTGGATGAGAACCTAGATCACTGTGTTACTAATGCATATCCAGTATAGTCCGGGTTTGAGGTTGGCATACCAGAGGCTGGCCTCGCGTGTTCACTTTGGGGCCATGTAGCGAATGGCAAGATACGATCTCTACATCGGGGGGCAGGTGTTTCTCGAATGCGGCGAGCTCCGGGGCCTTGCAGGACGTTTGACCACCGACGATAGCACCGACCTTTGTTGCTTGAGTCCAGGTCAGAATGTACTTCGGTTGGGAGCAGACTAGCGGCTGTTCGACACATACATAGTCCGTACTGTGCCACGACCTTGTCGATGACCCCAGCCTCTACACTGTACAGAATGTAATCGCTTATTCTTGACACGAGATGTCCATTGGGAAATATGGTGACTCCTTTCTATATATACAATGAGCTTCTTGAGCTTTGAGTGGCATAATCCCAGCCGGGGGACGTACTTGAGAAGCGAACTCTTGTTTTAAAGATTCGAAATTCTCAGGTCTATCACATGCGTTTATCCTTGATATCAAAATGCGAAGTTAGTCATGTCAGGTTTATAAAGAATTAGTTATGGCGAGGCCCGATGCGAATCTATAAATCTTTTCACTTGTTAGTGTATGTCTTCAAACAGCAAAGTGAAGGTGTGTATTGTAAAATTGAACAGGATCAGACAAAAAAAAGTTAAGGTAGCGTGGGTGTAACATCACCGACAGCCAGCTGGTTAGCCATCAACCAGAATGGTGTAACAGCGCCAACTAAACCGTACTCGAGCCAAATGCACTCATGTCATCATTCGAGGGGGGTGGGCAGAGGAAAAAGGACAGAATAAAAAGCTTACCATTTGAAGCATATTGGGCCTGTGTTGTCGAAGAATGGGGGGCGGCCAGTTACCTCCATCCTGCATCGCTCAGGCGTTGGGCATACATTTTGCCCATATCGCCCATACCAATGATGCCAATCGTGGCATCTTCTTTGGTGCGACCCATCGCGACAAGCGCGCTAGAAATTCTGGGGAAATAAGGTGTGGCCCTTTGAGCCAGTGACACTGATAACCACTATATGTTATTGAAGTTCAAACTCGAAGCTCGAGTCGAGGAAGATCAAATGTAATGTTGGAAGGAATAAGTTGGGTGAACGAAAAATTTAAATACTGCACGGAGCTAAGCAGTTCACCGCCTACCGGGCCGACTAGAATCCGGATATAAATTTATGACACATAAAGCCTGAGGCAGTCAACTCGCTTGATATTGCTAACCAATCAGAGTGCGTGATTCTCCCTAGGGCACACACCCACTTTTTTTCCAACCTCCAGGTGGGATCAGGATCCGACTTTTCCTTTCTTTCTGTATTCCATCCACACTAACCACCAACAACAGTCGCAATGGCCCCCAAGACCAAGGCTCCCGCTGCCGCTAAGGAGAACGTCTCCCTCGGCCCCCTCGCCGGTGATGGTATGTTTGAAAAAAATTGAAGTTAAAGAAGTTGAGATCTGACTATTTTACACAGGCAAGCTCGTTTTCGGCGTTGCCCGCATCTTCGCCTCCTTCAACGATACCTTCGTTCACGTTACCGATCTCTCGTGAGTCACCTTACACCTCCAATTCTCTCGCATTCGAACCAGCCATTTCGAGTTGGAATCGGCGCAGATGGGACGTATCACAAAGGATGATGTTGGCTGACAAGTTATTGATTACAGTGGTCGCGAAACCATCTGCCGTGTTACCGGTGGTATGAAGGTCAAGGCTGATCGTGATGAGTCCTCCCCCTACGCCGCCATGTTGGCTGCTCAGGACGTCGCTGTCCGCTGCAAGGAGCTCGGCATCAACGCCCTCCACATCAAGATCCGTGCCACTGGTGGTAACGGCACCAAGACCCCCGGTCCCGGTGCCCAGTCCGCTCTCCGTGCCCTTGCCCGTTCCGGCATGCGCATCGGTCGCATTGAGGACGTCACCCCCACTCCCTCCGACTCTACCCGTCGCAAGGGTGGTCGCCGTGGTCGTCGTCTGTGAGCGTTTACGCTTGGTCTTTTCCTTCCTCTTGCAAGTCATTGCATGTCTGGATTGGAGGCTATTTGCGGGGTTCTCCTGCATCTGTGGATGGAATAAACGCGAGGAACGGCATTTATCGCCTGGTCTTCAATTTTTTTCATACGCTGAAAATCAACTCTCGGATTATGCTGTTGGATTAGGTAGTGCTAAATCAACAACTTGATCTCTATATTTTGGATTATTGTAAGCTCCTGCCGAGCTCCAAAGTCAATTGTAAATGATAGTAGTTACGGCTTCATAGATTTTGGATTATTTTGAGGCCGGGATCTCCTGTGGGGAGATACTGTGTTTTGGAACTCTTATTGTGATCGACAGATGTGATTATGGCTGTATCTTCTTCCTCTTTGAACGTTTGCTTCTTCATACTCATTTAATACACACATCCTATAAAATACCTAGATATCAAGATAAGAACTACCTAGGTACCCTTTGAACCTCAATCTACGCTATTTGAATTGCAAATTCTATCTCTTATTGAGCAAATGAATTAGCACAGATTGGACAGATAGGGTACATAACTATCTATAAATGTTATAAAAGACATACGGAGCAGAGGTTAAGTTCCAAGTTGCTAACCCCCCCAAAAAATCGCCTCCCGATAAAAGATAGCATGTCGTTATCCGATAGCTCAAACCAAACTACGCAATCGCTTCCAACTTTTTATTCCTCCAAGCTTCAACTTGCGCGCAATCACCCAAGCGCAAAAACCTCCAATTCGCATAAAACGGGCACAATGTCCACCCACCAGCCAACCCCAACAATCCTCCTCCCAAACCTACCTCCAAAAACCCTCGTCGGCATCGACCTCATAACCTTCACATCAACCCCAAATTTCCACGGAATCCGAGACCTTTCCCCAGGATGGCACTTCCTCTACACCGGCGCAACAGAGACCCTCTCTCTACGCAGCGGCGCATGGTTCTACATCGGTGACATCAGCATCGCCGGGAAAGGGAGCAACAACACAGCCCTCGTCGCGCAAAGCCGAAACAAAACCCAACCCCAAGACGCACCGGCGCCCGAGATTTACATCTGGAAATGGAGCGCAGATACAGAGTCCCTAGGGGCGCTAGACAGTGAGAGCGACTCCGCCCGCCAGGAGAACATGCGCTACAAAGCGAATCTCGGTTCTGTGTGGCAGAGCGGAGGGTTATTCAGGTATCGCAGCCGGATTGCGCCTTCAATGCTTGTCAAGCCCGTGACGGAATCAGAACCTAGCGAAAAGAACGAAGACAAGCCTGAACCCCAAATCGAAGCTCGCATCCAGACAGAAGACGATGCGCAAACCGAAGAAAGCGGCCGGAGGGATTGGTCTAGACTGACTGACCGGATCTCACCGAATTTTCTATCGCGCGTTATTGGGAATCCGGAGGTTGATATCGACGGTCATCCGCGATGGGTGTTGTCGTCTGCTTCAACGGCTAACCGGGATGCGGACCATATCCCCGGCGTTGACTCGCCGGCTGAAGGGCTGCACGAGCCGGAAATAAGCGAGGAAGCGGAACGCGAGTTCGGCTTTATTCCGATTGATTTGAAGCGGACGTGGAGAGAAGGTGCTGTCGGCCGTGAGCGGACTGAAGCTGCTCAGGATCGGTCTTGGGCTCTTGGAGACTTGATCGAGCGGTATGCTAAGGAGGCTTCTGGGGGGAATGAGTTACTTGGAGAACTGCAGTTTACGTTCCTCATGGTGCTGACTATGATGAACTACTCGTGTTTACAGCAGTGGAAGCGGCTTCTTGAGCTTATTCTTACATCCCGGGGAGCAATTGTGGATAGGGAGGATTTCATGAGTGAAGTTCTTCAGATACTGTCGGTGCAGCTGCAGCGATGTGATGATGTTGATGGTGGACTGTTTGAAATTGATGGTGATGAAGGCGGGGCTTTCTTGCGTAACCTACTCATGAAGCTGCGTCATTCAGTCGATGACATTGTCGGCGATAGTGAATCCAAAGTCAAATTGGAGCTTGACAAGCTTGAAGAGTGGGTGAAGGCAGAATATGACTGGGAGCTGCGTCGTGGGGCTCTCGTTCGCCACGGTATGCTTCAATTGGAGGACGGTGAGCAGGTCGAAATGGACTGGCATGGGAATGACGAGGAAGACGAGACTGGAGAATATGCTCCGATGATTGTTGAGTAGATGCGAGGTTAGGACATTGGACTTGGTTCTATTTCTGCCCACTTATGGAATATGTAAAGTACTGGTGATTTCTTGATATCCCGTCTCATGTGCATTTACTAGAGCCAGAACGATGAACATTGAATAAAATGGCTAATATTTTCTATGAATGGTCTAAATTTTATATACAGTTCAACCCTAGCATCAAAGATACCGACGATGCCTAACTTCACAAACACGCCCAAGAGGCGTCAACCAAAATGGCTTGCGAGTCTAAATCTAAAATCATCTATGAGTTTTATCCATCTATTTTTCCTCGTTCTCAATGGTATAAGCCCACTCATGCTCGACCTTGCCGAACATGATAGCCTCGAGCCAAGACTTGATCTGCGCGGCATATCCAGCAGGCTCGCCGTTCGCACCCAAGGTGTTGATATCAGTCTCTCCGTTGCGGATCATGGCAACAGGAGTAATGAAGTACTAAGGGGTAAGGTGTTAGCATATCAACTCCGACAAAGCAGACGATTCTCGAACTTACAGCAGTGCCAGAAACAAAAGACTCAACAATGCGACCCTCCTTGGAAGCCTTCTCAATATCATCAATGGTCAAAGTGCGCTCCACAGCCTCAAGGGGCGCAAGCTTGCCGACAAAGTTCTCCGACAAACGCTCGCGAACGAGCTCCAAAACACTGCGACGGGTAACACCGGGCAGAATGAGCTGGCTGTCAAGAGAAGGAGTAACAAGCTCCAGCTTGCCTTCGGTGTTGTGCCAGACAAGGAAGAAGTTACTGGCGCCAGCCTCGGTGACTTGGCGGTCCTCGCCGAACAACCACAGGATCTGATCGAAGCCCAGAGCCTGGGCCTTGCCGTGGGACTGCAGGGAAGGACCGTAGTTCGCACCGAGCTTGGCGTAACCGAAGCCGCCGGGCCAGGCACGGATGCTATCAGGGTTAGAGGCGTAGAGTTTAAGGCCCTTGCGGGGCTCGGCATTGGGATCCTTGGGCATCTTGGTGAAGTCGGGCCAGGGGACGGCAATAATGAAGAGGAGGGCTTCCTTGGGCACTTGGACGCCCAGGTGGGGACCGTTGCCAATAACGGTGGGACGGATGTAGAGGAAAGAACCGGGGTTGGGGAGCCAGCCTAGAGATAATCATTAGTGAAGTGCTCTTATTTATATTGTAGGCAAGTAATGCCTGGATATGCATGGATAATGGAACATACGAGGACCGTCAATCTGCAGCAGCTTGGCGACAAGCTTCTTCACCTCATCGTACTTGAATCCAGGCAGAGAGGACCGCTGCGAGCTGGAGTTCAAACGCTCGCCATTGCAATCGGGGCGGAACAGGCGCAGTTTGCCGTCATATCCGCGGTAAACCTTCATACCCTCGAAACACTCGGTGGCATAGTGCAGGACCGATGCTGTGGGGGGAATGCTGAGGTTCTGGTAGGGCTTGACTTCGGGAGTTTCCCAGCCGTTGGTCACAGTCCATTTCACGGTGACCATGTGGTCAGTGCAGTGAGAGTGGCTCAACTCCTCTGGGGAGCCAGGCAGAGGCACATCGCGCAAGTTAGTTGAGCGAGTGATGTTGAACTTGGAGCCATCCAGCTCTGCAACGTGAGGAGCGACAGAACCCATGATGTGGTTGTTTATGATCAAGGATTCTTTCCGTGAATATGAGGGAGGAGAGAATGAGTCACACGGTCAATTGATGATCTTAAAGGAAAAACCACCGAATGAACTTATTTCACAGAGAATTCGGTTTGCTTCGGGGAAATGCCCCTCTTAACCATCTTCGACCCAAAAAAAAAAAAAAAATTCAATGCCGAACGACGCCCGGGGAAGTCGCCTCTCTCCATTCGCCACCGAAAATATCCTTTGCACACCGCTATACGGAGTACAACACATTGAAGACGGAATTATTCGAAACTATCCCATATCCTTGAACTTGCCCTACTATTTTTACTACTAGTATGAGCATTCTACGAGGGGTCAAATATTGGTTATCTCAAGGCCCACTTTTGGCATCTCCGAGACTAGCCGCGTTGATATATAATTCACTTCTATTCCTAGAATTGATGCTATCTAAAGTTTGCAGTAAGCTGATTTGTGTGTATTGAAAGTCTTGGCTCTTCTGCATGATCCTTGCATGTTCACGCCCTTCAGGCCCTATTTTAGGTAATACGCTCCTCAAGGAGCATATTACCCTCTACAGAATAGTATTCAATGCAAAGAACATGCAAATGATATCTGACATCTACACTAAACCCATAATGAATAGCTAATATTTCCGATCTCACATGAAAATAATAACTAAAGAAGGCGCAATATATTTGGTTTTGAGCACCAACAATCGGTGACATAAGACATCGTATAGCACCCGTGGACGTTGGATATTATATACTATATGCAACATATCTTGCATATCCATACTGATGCAGACCCGACCTTATTTCCCTTCTTTATTTTCCTGTTCAATTTTGGGACGATATATACTTCATTCACCATACCACCGTTCCTACCGAGCTGTTGAATTCCCCTTGCATGTAAGGAACAAACAAGGCTACTCGCATTTACCTACAATCACTCATTGACCTACAAACAGCGAGATCAGGGAATCCAGATCTTATTCCAAGGTCCCGGGGAAGCACCGATTACACTCCGTAGCGGCTTTTGTTCTAGCTTTGGTTGGGTCGGATACTATATCCGCTGTCGGGAATGATGTTTGTAGTCTATGTAGTAGTCAAGTGTAGTCAAGTCATCCATGGTGGTATGCTGGTAACTTTATACATGAGTCTTTCGGATAATGCTGCATATCCGATTTTCGAATGTCGGGGCTACGGCAGTATCCGGGCACTGGCGCATTATTATGTTGTTATGAAGGTAGAAATTATTAAAGTGGAGAGTTGAAAGGCATAGTTGGATGGCGTAGGAGATGCTGGAGGATCTGGACAGTGGGGGAATAACTGATCGCCGAGGTCTAAGGGCATAGAACCGAATTACGATCTTGTGCGGGGTATTTGAATGTGGGGCCCTTTTCATGATATGGACAAGTGGTATATATAGTGCGAGTAGACTACAATTTATAGACATTCAGGCTACCAGTGCAGTATATAGAAATATCCGCGGGTGCTCCGAGTACTTCATTACCTTTTGAATTGTGACGTAGAAGGAGAACGCTTTGTTTAGTGATTTAGTATGTGACTCGGCTTGAGGTTTGAGGGGCAAACATCTTGTCATATCGACGAGCTCACGGAGGGACATTGATATTGATCAAGTATATGAGCGGGTCATGAGACATCTAGACGAGGTCAAATGTAAATTGCCGGTATACTTCTTTATTTTATATTGATGGCCTGAATATGCTAGAGTGTTGAAGTTGACAGGAAAGTCTGCCCTTCCTGCGCTTGTAGGTGTTTTTAGTCGATTAGTGTTTTCAACAGATAGTACCCTCAAATTAAAAAGAGAAATATTGATCCGTCCCTACTACCGATAGAAATAAAGGAGAAGGGCCAGATGCCAATGTGATGAGAATAATTGGAGCAGAGAAAGTAATGTTAGAATGTAAAATGGCCCCCGGTGGGAGAACATGAAGTAAGATGAGCATGTGACATGGTCACGCAGGCCTCTCTCTCTATCCTATAGAGATGTTCCCAGAAAGGCAGATGCCCATAGATCCCAACAAAAGACGATCAGGATAGGGGCTAGACTGCGGTCAAAGCGATGGCTCGGCCGTGATCACCCACCACGAGGTTTACGTATACAATATAACATGGCGTGATCTACCGAGCACGAAGTAGCAATCTCAAGAATGGGGCTGCCTTGATATGTGATAGATCTCAAGCCAATAGCGCAGAGTGGATTCTAACATGTGCTTCGGCCGTAAGCATCGCTTGTTGGTATCTGGCGATTGGATACAGAACCGACCAAGTCAAAATCTAGGGGTTTGACACATAATACGGGGCCGAGGAAATGCCGAATTCTGATGTATATGTCAAGTTGTTTGACTTAGTGGCCGATCTTACCGTAAAGATTCAAAAAGAAAGAAAAAGGGCAAACATGGCTCGCGTTGAGTTGGCAGGTGTCAGTGATATGCAATATATAAAAGCAAGTAAAAAAAAAAAAAAAAGAAAAAAAAAAAAAAATTGGGTTCCCAAGATTACCTGCAATGCACTAACGGGCCGTGGATTTTCTGAAAGTAAAAAAAAATACACATTGAAGCTTAAATTATAAACTTAAAAGCAAAATCATCTATACTTATATACTTATATACAACATCTAGTTAAGTACATCTATGTACATATACGGGGTACATTCAGTAAAATATACAAAAAGTGGGGGAGACTAACGGTGAAAATATCCAACCAAAGAGAGCTGGCTGATTTCTCCGGATCTTTGACATCTGATACCATATTCGAAGTAGGAGGATCCACTTAATATCTAGATGTAAATTTGAAAATAGTCTAAGAATATTTAAAATCGAAATCTATAGGATAACCGCGTTTTTACATCATCTTCGCGCTAAGTCTGTTTTTGGTAGGAGTCTTTAGTAAGGCGAGGGGGGGGGGCTTTCATCACACATGCAGGTGATGGACATTCGTAACCCATGTTACATTGCAGCCGATTAGCTCCGTATACGGACTAAGTACTGCACTTCAGGGATTTCGGAAATAGTTGAAAGTACCTAAGACACGGGATAAAAAATAAAATAAAAGAGGGGATCTCAGCCGCATAATTGATTTCACTGGCTCTTAACCCCGGCATCTAAAGATGGCTGGTTACATGACTGGAACTTGTGTGGGGTGTGAGGTACATATATGTTGTGTTATACTTTCTAAAAGTGTTAAGCGATTGGGTGTAAAGAAATGGAGCGAAGATCCGGCATTTTGTGCTTCGATTTCAGTATAACGGGCGCATAAGCGGCACTACGCGACGCTAGCATGTATAGTTCAAGCCAAGAGCCTTTAAAAGTTTGCTTCTATTTTTGTTTCTTTTTCTTTTTCTTTTCTCTCTTTTTTTTTCATTGAGAAACACTCTTCTCCGCGGAGGCAACTCTTGACTAGTTGGAACGGGACTCTGCGTGAATAGCGCCGGGTTACATACCCATTGGGAGATATCGTGGTAGGAAAATCATTCGACGTATAGTGGGGCATATACAATATACGAAGTATGTTGTATAAAAAACGACCCAGATGATGTATAATATAGATATTTGAACCTTGATATGTTACCCAAGTACCTCTCTACATAACTGACATCTAAGTGTAGATGTTGCCAGCGAAGAATACAAACCAGGCCGCTTGATACTCAAAAGTAATTGATATAATGCCAAGAAAGGAAATGCGTTTGCTCATGATTCCCATTGGCTGTTCTTTTAACCGCCAATGAAAAACGTTGGAAGAAGTTATGTGGATGTATCAAGTAAAAAGGAACTAAGGGGGGGTTTGTAAGAGGTTCACAAATTATAGGAATTGGACCATTCAGGAATCCAAGGTAAATTATAAATCAGACTAACATTAAGATCGGTAGATCCGGTTTATGAGGTGGAGGTTTTAAGATATGCCTTTTCCCCCTTGCAAATCCCGATTCGATCCCACCGCGGAAAATACTTTGGGACAAGGATCTAAGATTATGGAGATCCTATAACCTCGGAACAAGGAGTATGTACACATGGTAACCCTAGAAAATCCACTTTAATGGTATCACAGCTTCAAGCACATCTAGTCCCATCAACCGGTGTACTGGAATTTTTGACCCTTGGTATGAACCCTGTTCTATGGATCATTTTTCCAGCCCGTCCGGGATGAAATCTAGATTCCAGAGAGAAAGGCTGCTTAAAAGTGATATTCTCCACAAATACTTAGATTATAATATTGACATGGACATCCCTTGTATCTTTTGTATGTTGTAGGTAATAACTATAGAAAAAGGAATGTGGCAAAAAACGTGGAGGTTGTGGAGGTCGGGATATGTGATTGACATATGAGTTTCCTATACAAGAGACCCGAAGTCGAGATAACCTGTTTGTTTCAAGTGTTACATATCTGGATAAGTCAGAAATCGAGAGAATAGGGGGAAATAGATGTCCATAATAGTTAGATGAGTACCTCCGCAGAACAATCAAAGAATCCGAGAAAAAGGCCAAGAATTAGAATAAAAAGATTTAGTGTACGCCCGGGGTAAAAGTCTCTTTTGGTGCTGATACATCGCCCTCTTAAGGTGGTGATTTTTTTTCCCTTTTTTTCTTTGCTTTTTTTTCCCACCTTTCTTTTTTCCTATTCGCCCTTGAGATTTTTTGGGGGGGATTTAGTATCTCGTGCTTCAATTCAAGCTGCCTGACTTTCCATATTCGGTCCTTGATCCTCCTCCCGAATCTCGCATTACCACTCTTTTGAGGTCTCGACTCAATAGCCCCCTAGTTATCTGCACATCTTATATTGGCAAATCGTTGAATTTGTTAACCCTCCAATCACTGAATTCAAGCTTGGGCTACCGGGTTACCCCGGTTGTGTGACGGGCGTCGAACCTCCCCTTCTGTTTGCTAACCCCCCTCGCTTTTGAGGTCCTGTCACCTGCAGGTCGACTTTGAGCACTTCGACCGATTCCAGAATAGTTTCTTTTAGTTGTGTCCCACCTTCATGCGTAAATAACGCATCGCACCGTGACGCCCGTATCATTGCGACATGACACTTACCCCCTTTCTGACATCGAGCTGGTGAGACGTTGGAGACGTCGATTTCGATGGCCCATAAGAGGAAGCCTTAGTACCGTGGTTCAGTGTATAGAGCATCATTTGCCTACACTATTCGCGAAGGTCACCAGCAAGCGTTGCTTTAACATATTTTTGCATTGTCGTCAAACCTTCAACCTCGGTAGATTTCGACCGGAAATCTCAAACAAATTTTGGAAAACTCAATACTCCAGTCCACAAAGCTGATCTTTTGAAATGACTATGAGCCCTCACGAGAGCTCCAAACAGTTTCCGGCGTTGGCTCCGGGACCGCCACGCATGTTCGCTCCGCAGACGTCGACTGCTGTCAGTAGACCAAAGAAGAATTCCACTGCTTGTCTAGCATGCAAGGCAGCTAAGAGGAAGGTGAGTCGGCGCAATCAGTTGAACCCTTTCCGCTACCCTTCTATCCTCCTGCCCTCTCTGGATTATCCTAAACCTGGACCTTTCAGAATGAAGACTCCGGCTAATCAATATGCTCTGCGCAATATAGTGTTCCGGACCAGATGCTCCATGTAAAGCTTGCCGATCCACCAACACCGAATGTCAATTCGATCCAACTCGAGACCTTAGACGAAAGGTTGCCGTCAAGCGGATGATCCTGGAGCTCACAAACCACAAAGATCTATTAGAGTCTTTGTTGAGCACCCTCGGGTCAGCTGACCAACTCCAATTTGACAAAGTGATGGATTTGATCCGGAACAAGGCTTCATTCCAGGAAATCGCTCATGCTGTCGGAAGCCCCGCCACCACGTTTGGAGACCCCCAAGAGTTGTCGAATGCGTGCAAATTGGCGATTCTGGAGTATGGGGAGAATCCCGTAGAAACCTCGGGCAACGCGGCGAGAAGACCGTCAGACCCTAACGCTATAGCAAGCTCACCAGGAGAGCTTCCACACCTGAAAGCTTCACAATGGCCAGCAGTGAGCCCTTATGCTCGTGTCACACTGGAGAGTCTCTGCGACATACCTCTATTTGAGGTGCCGGCAAAGCCGTGGACAAAGGTCACAGATGATGATTATCTGGTCTCGCACCTAGTCTCGCTCTACTTTACCTGGGACCACCCATGCTCGCAGTTCCTTGATCAGCGTATCTTCCTCGAACATATGAAACGCGGTCATCGGAAATCCGACTTCTGCACGCCGATTCTCGTGAATAGCCTATTGGCAATGGCCAGCGTATGGATCCCGCAAATGCTCGACCCTCGCTGAAACCATTAGCTAACTCTGACAGGCCTATTCTGATAGCCCTGATGTTCTTTCCATCCCCGAGAACGTGTTCTCGCGGGGTCAAAAATTTTTCAATGAGGCGCAAAGGTTGTGGGAAGTCGAAGATGATGACCACGACCTGCCTAATATCCAGGCCCTCCTATTGATGTGTTGTGTGTATGTTGTCCCCTGGTTTGTAGCAAACACTTCATATTCAGGATATTGATTTTCTGCAGATTCAAAAACCAAGGACGAGTCAGGAAAAGCTGGATGATGCTTAGTCAAGCTGTCCAGCTGGCACGGGATACAGGACTATTTGATTCCCCAGCAGTGCCGAAAAACAAGGTGTCGCCAGAGACGGAACGAGTTCGCACAATCACCGCCTGGGGTGTCTTCAACATGAGCTCGTAAGTGCTGCGTATTTTCCCAGAAACGAGCAATTTCTAACCAATTGATGCAGACAAATGTCGATTGAGATGCAGAAAATATCCCCTTTACCATATCCCACATCTGATGTCAAGATGTGTGGCAGTGAAGACTTTGACTGGACCCCATACCCTCGCTCAAACAAAATTACATATGACAAAAAGCCAGCCCGTCTCCCGGCAGTTAGGGAGGGACTAGCTGAGCTAACCAGAATCCTGGTCGATGTCCAGAAGCTCGTTTCTGAGAAAAATCACGGAACCAGCATTGATGAGTTGTGGCGAAAAGCCGAAGAGCCGTTTGATCGTTTGAATGCTTGGCTGCAGCACTGGCCCAGCGTGGCAGAGATACAACAAGATCCGGTCCCACAGATGCTTCTCTTGCGGTAAGCACGACTGCCTTTCTGTTGAGTGCCCCAGTGATTGTTTCTATACTGATACCAAGGACAGAATTAAATGTCTCCAGGCCATCATATATCTGTTTGAGATTCTGAATGACCCAAATCAGCCACAATTTGTTCGACAGGCACGGTACTATCAGGTTAAGTCCGCCCAAGAAACTGCGCAATGCCTTCGCGTCCATCGTCTATCGTATGGCCTGAAGCATATACCCAGCCAGATAGTCGATGCCGTACAATTAAGTATTCGGATCTTAGTTCATCAGTTGGAAGAAAGTGACGAGTCAAGAAAGGCGTTTGCTGAGCTCTGTCAATTTGGAACCGCTCTTAGTCACAGGTTCAAGCAAACATCCGACGTGATTCATGAAATCAGGAAGAACGCGATGCACCTAAGACTCCGATTACCACCTGAGGTAAATGCAATATTCGATGACCCGGAACAGTGGAAGAGCCTTGAGCCCTGAAACTCAGCATTCCGCCTGTGTTTGTGACAGTATCCATGCCGCTACCACATGAACGATCTTGGAAAGAGAGTTCATCCTGCTGCAGACTTGCGTGAAACAAAGGCGGGAAATGTGGAGTGGAAGTATTACGACGGCAGGACTCGAATGAGAGTGTTGAAGGAAAGCTGCAATACTCTAGAAAACCGTCACAGCAGAGTAGACATTGACACTGGCCTAACCAAATCTTCGATAATGACCAGTTCAAGCTCTGTCTTCCTAGCACTCGGGCCAGAGACGAGGATGTGCAGTATCACCGTCTGTGGTTTGGAGCAAAAAAGGGGGAAATAAGGGGCTACGTTGACTGAGGGGAAGGGCCGGGGTTGCCATCTACAACCAGAGCAGTGGTAGCCGATGAAGGCGTCCAGTTGTTGGCCTCTGATCTACCGGAAGTCTTTTCCCTATACCCTTTACACCTAGCTACTTAATGAAGCACACACTCGAGGAATAATGTTTTTTTTTTCTCGTACTGAACTTTCTAGCATTTCTGTAGAAAGTACAAAAGGTGAACTGAGTTGAATTAACCTGGTAACGTGCTAAAGAGAATCGTCCTATGTCTGCTGTAACACCGCTGAGTCCTATACATCTGTGTGTTTGGCTTTTATAGTTGAAATTGCCATACACTGTGACCATATGAAAATAGGCAGGTACATGCTTGTAAATAGTTCAAGTAGTTACGTATAGTGGACCGGCCAGTCTTCAAACAGGTATTATAAACAGAGAGCATATAAACGATCACTTTTATATCAATATGCGCAACAGTCAAAAAGAAGTAAACGAGCTCAATTCCGTTTAGAATGTCTAGAGTGCCTGCCATTAGCATGCTGTACACTCCAGAAATGTCTACACCTTCATTCTACTCATCAAGTTTCTTGCATAGGTGCTCAGGTAAATTTAGGTGGTTGCCCAGCTGTAGTACCTCATAGTTAGGTGTTGGAAGTTATATCAGAGAGTAAGTAGACAGTACAAGGGTTACCAGCCAAAACAGGTGGCACGCTAGGTACCCTGTACCTACACCGTCCGGAGAGCTCCAGGCACAAAACCAGCACAGCTGAGTCATCCACAATACTTATGCGCAGATAAGATAAGCACAAACACCCAAGCGAAAACCCTCAAAATTCGACTTCTTTGGCAAATCGCACACGCCGACGCTATCCCACCCCCTCCCCACCTCGCCCCTTCCGCTCCCTCCCTGCCGTTTCATCTCGGCATCTTGCTGCATTTTTAACTCTTTTCTTTCTCCTCTCCCACTCAACATGTCCTACGAAGACCGCGCCAATGCGCGCCCCAACTTGAACGATGAGTCCGATAATGAGGAGGAGGCTATGGTCAACGATTACCGCGAGCAGGTCAACTACGACGATGGAATGAGCGAACTGGAACAGATCACATCCCACGGTGCTGGGCAGGCCCAAGACCTTCAGGCCCAGCTGGCCGCCGCCGCCACCCCGCTGGAATACCAGGCTACTCTTGAGACCAAATTCGCTAGCTACGACAACTACTGCAGTCTCTTCCACTACATCCTGAACTCCGATGGCCCTGTCGACTTGGAGGTTCCTAACGTAGGTGTCCCGCTTCGCCGACCGATTGTTGAACGTCATGAATGAAAAGGAAAAGCTTGGCATTCGTGAAATCAACAGGTCGATTCATCCCTCAAAAGACACAGAAAACTAACAATGCTTTTTTCTACAATTAGTACTACTGGGCTTGGGAAGTTATTGACGAGTTCATCTACCAATTCGAATCCTTCTGCCGTTACCGCAACCGCGTTGCTCGCACTGGATCCAACGAGGAGGAGAGCCAGCTGCTCCGCGAGAACCCGAACACATGGGGCTGCTACTCAGTGCTGAACGTGCTTTACTCTCTCATCCAGCGCTCCCAGATTAGCGAGCAATTGAACGCCACTAAGCGGGGAGAGGACCCAATGGCCGTCGCCGGCGAGTATGGCTCGCGCCCCTTGTACAAGATGCTCGGTTACTTCTCGATCATCGGACTGCTGCGCGTGCACTGCCTGCTCGGCGACTTCAGTCTCGCCCTGAAGATCCTTGACGATGTCGAGATGAACAAGAAGGCCATGTTCGCCCGCGTGATGGCCGCCCACTTCACTACCTACTACTACGTGGGCTTCTCCTACATGATGATGCGCCGCTACGGTGACGCCATCCGCATGTTCAGCCACATCCTCGTGTATGTGTCCCGGACAAAGAACTTCCAGAAGGGAGGCAACAACTACGAGGCCATCGCCAAGAAGAACGACCAGATGTACGCCCTGATCGCCATCTGTGTCGCCCTCCACCCCACCCGTCTGGATGACACCATCCACTCGGCCGTCCGTGAGAAGTACGGCGAGCAGTTCTACCGCATGCAGAAGGGTGGTCCCGAGGCCCTGCCCGTCTTCGAGGAGCTCTTCCGCTCTTCCTGCCCTAAGTTCATCAACCCCACTCCCCCCGACTTCGACAACCCAGCCTCCAACGTCGACCCCGTCGACCACCACACCGCCATCTTCATGGACGAGGTCAAGAACACCCTGTTCAACCCCACCATCCGCTCTTACCTCAAGCTCTACACCACCATGGACCTCAAGAAACTTGCAGGATTCCTCGAGGTGTCCCCCGAGCAGCTCCGCTCGTGGTTGCTCGTTAACAAGCAGCGCAGCCGCCAGATCCGCTGGGTCGACGGTGGCCTCCTGGATGGCGAGCCTGCTATCGCCAACGATCTCGACTACGCTCTTGAGGACGACTTGATCCACGTTAGTGAGACCAAGGCCGGCCGCCGTCTGGTCGACTGGTACCTTCGTAACCTCGCTCGCGTCTACTAAGCGAGCTCGTGTCTCATAAGTGTGCCGAGAGTTGAAAAGAAAAAAAAGCGAAGAGTGGTGGGAACCTTCTGCTTACAAGAAGAGGAACGGACATGACTTGAGATGAATTTTCTTTCTTTTTCTCTGCCTACTTTGTTTGTTATTTTCCATATTATACTCATTGCTCTCCCCCCCCTCATGTTTCTTGTTTATGTGTTTCCCTTTTTTTATTTTTCGAGTGTTCCCCGTCCGTGGATCATGGAAGCTCAAGGCTTTCTGGTCCGTTCAAAATCAAGTTCAATTTGGATTATCGCGATTTATTTGGTGGGCGTCCGCTGTTTCATGTGTCCCCTGGTCTGCTGTCGCTGCTTCTTTGAAGGCAGATGGTTAACACAGCATGGATAGTATTTGTGTCAGGTAGAGGAAAATCAGTTACTTGATGAAAGCATTAGATCAACGAGAAATACTCTATATATATTTCAATTCTTCTATGGGCACGGTGTTTCAAACAAAATTTGGGGTTGCTGGGTATCAAAGGTTATACTCAGAAAAGTCGTCTGCACAAATTAAGCTCTATAAACTTTATATCTACACAGATATCTGAGAAGATCACTGAAAAGACATCAGGTGAAAATATTTTGTAATTACAAGCTGCATGAGAACGTTTTCCATCTACATGTACACGTATATCTCTACACTGGATTATAACAATAACAGCTCGCCTGTGGCAGCCCCACCAGCCAGTTGTGGCTGATACACCTGCTGCTGATTTTGGGTCACAACGTACTGTGTTTGAGGTGCACCTCCACCACCGGTACCATCAAGGTCCAGCGAAGCCATTTGCTGGGAGCCGATACCACTGAAGTAAGCGTCTGCTGCATCTGCTGCCTCATTCATGTTGCTGGGGCCGGTAGCTGCAGGGTTGATGCCCGAGCCGACGGGAAGAGAAGGCGGAGGCCCATTGTAGATTGGCGTAACAGGCTCTCCTGTGGTGGTGATTGTGGCTAGACCGCTATTACTAGTTGAGGTGGAGGCCATTGTTGCGGAGGGAGGGTTGTATTCAAGCATATTGCCTGTGCCGTTGTCGATAGGAGCACGTTGCAAGGCTGGGCTGGGCAGGAGACGCCGAGGACGAGCAGCGCGGAAGACTTGGTGGATGGGCTTGAGGTAGACAGTGGCTAGAGTGCCGACGTTTAGACAGAGTTCTTCGAGAGTGCGTGGGTCTAGCTTTTCGCTCTCAGCCGTGATTGGGGGCTTTTGGCCCATGACCACCTGTTTGGCGGTTGCTGGGTCCGTCGACAGCAAGCGCCAGTACATGTAACCACGGTCACGAAGATCAGGGTCATCTGTTTCTTCGGTGCACCATTTCAGTACCTGTGGTACGAGCTTCTGACCCTTGGTGGGCCGTTGGATGAAAAGTTTGACGGTAGCCGTGAGCAGGGCCAGCTGCACTTCGACCGTTTCGTCGTGGAATGTGGCTAAGTAATCCTGAAGGAGACCATCTGAGTTATCAATGCGGTCCGCATACTGGCCAATGATCCAAATGACGGCTGCCTTGGCTTCGGGCTCATCCAAGTCATCGATATTTCGGATAACATGACTGATTATACTCTCGTACTGGTTGGGGTACTTGCGGAAAATGTTGCGAATCACCACTGTTGCCTCTTGGACAATATATGGGATCTTCGCATCGACCAGCTCCAAGAGCGTGTCAATACACTGCTTTGCTGCAGATTCAATCTTGATGGCCAATTTCCCTATGGCCCGGACGGCCTTTCGCACAAAGTGAACGTCAATTTCAGTGGCATATCTGCAAAGTATGTTAGTACAAGTTCAATAAATATAGTCAATGTGAGAAATTCTTACTCTCGGAGCTCTGCCAGCACGACGGAGATGTTCTCTTTTGTGGTTAGCATGAACATTAATTCCAACTTGGTGACCTTGACATAGATTGGATCGTTGTAATTGCAGAAGAACACTCGGATGTCACTCCGCAAGACCTCCGGTCTCTTCTGAATGATTAAAATAGCATTGCGCAATGCTAGGTATTGGACCTCAGGAGGCTTGGAAAGCAATGTGACGAGGGGTGGAGATAATTTCTTGCATAAGGAGGTGATGTGCTTTTCACCCGCGATGTAGTTCATGAGGTAAAGGATGACACGGGTTGAGGTCAGGACGACGGCGGAATTGGAATGTGATAGTCGCGGAGCAACTCGTTCTGCCAACAGAAGCGCCTCAGCGGAATCCTGTGGCACATATGACATTAATGCCTCGAGGATATAAGTTTGACCCCATCTGTTTGAACAGTTAGCACAACGTCTCTGGGTATGGAAACAAGGATTCTTACTCGGAACAATCTGCCAGAATCGAAACCAATTTTGAGGCACTGACATAGTCGATAGTGAGTGAGATCGATTCACTACGGCCCCAGATATCCACCAGCGAAGCTAAGACGCAGGAAACAACAGTCGGGTTCTCATCCTTCAACATACGGTTGAGCCTGTCGATCAGATCTGAGTTCTCAACCATCTTCTTATCATGCTCATAGAGTTTTGCGACACAGAAAGCAGCCGTCTTACGGACATATGGGTCATTGTCTTGCATCAGGCGCTTGACAGGTTGGAAGGTCGCTTCGACAAATTCGCGAACATGGACATATGAGATGGTTCGCAGTGCGAGGGCGCGCACGAGGGGGTTGTTATCTGTCATATCCTGTAAAGATAAGTTAGCCCAACTCGAATCTTCTTTCGCAAGAGCGGGTCCGTACATCAACCAATATAGGCAGTGCCTTCATTGCGACCTCTGGTTTCATTCTCGAGTAGTTGACCAGGAACAAGAAGCACCTATACACAGTGTATTAGCAAGCGAGCTCTACCACGCATGATACACCATACGTATCATTGTTGAATAGAGGGTCGGGGCATACATCTTCTTGATCTCCAAGCTCGGCAGATTCATGCAACCTATAACATCTGGAAACAGCGCAACCATGTCGTTGTTGCTCATAGTCATATTCGCAACAATCTTCTTAAGTGCGATCTTTTTGGCGGAATAGTTCTTGTCCTTCTTGCCGCCGCTATTGAGCTCTTGCCGTAGCTCTGCAACCTTCCCCTGTGTATTTCGTGAGCGTGAGCCATGGAATGGAGGATAAGGGGTAATAGCAATAAACATGAGGGCAGATATGATATAGTATTTCGGAAATGTGTAGGAGCAAAGTAAGCAGCGCCAAATGCAAGTTAAGTAGGCAAGAAGCAAAAGGCCCGAGTACAAAGCTCAAAGCGAGGGGAAGTGCATGTAAATAGAATGCGGGGAAGGGGGGCAAGGCCAGGCAGGGTATGATGGGAAATATCATGCGATTAAAGAATAGGCTGGGCAAGCTAACGTACCCTGGCGAATAACTTCGCATCTCCTCCAGAACTCATGGCTGCGGTATGAACGAATAGCGATTGGGCAGGCGACAGGCGAGATTTCTTGGAATGCGAACTTCGGCTTTCGTATATGGCCGTGCAATCAATCACAAGGCTAGATTGGCCGGAGGATCGTCAATAAGGACGTAAAAAGGCGCGAAATCGACTCGAAAAGGTCCGGGGCCGTCGGGGAGTTCGAGAGAGGAAAAGGGTGAGACCGTGAACGTGTTCACTTATGGCGCATTCGGGACACTCGGAAACAAATTAAATCAGCGATTGGACATTGTCCTTTCTCAAATAAGAGATAGAAATTAGAAGATTAATGGAGTTGAAAATAAAGAAAGAGAAAGAGAGGAGGGAAAGGAGAATTGAAGGCGGAGTAGCCACGGAGGGAACCTCCCTACACAGTAACTTTCCTCCCTCATTTTATTTCTCTATCATCTCCCCTCTACACTACATCTACTATTTTAATCATGTCACAAGCTCGTTTACCACCTCCTCCCCCTCCGCAATGGGTTGTTGCACTGAATTCCCCGATGCCGCGCCCCTCAAAGGCCGCATCCAGCTTCCCGGACCCGCCAGGCTTCTCAAGCAGTCGGGGAAGCAAGCAGGTGAGCTCCACCACAGATCATACTATGTGAATATACTAATGCCGGTACTTTCTAGCGTCAACAGCAGCAGCAACAATCTACTACAAAGAAACCCGATGAGACCGACGCGCTTAAGATGAAGAAAGCGTGGGAGATCGCCATCGCCCCGTCCAAGCAGATCCCAATGAATGCCATTATGATGTACATGTCCGGCAACAGTCTTCAGATTTTCAGCATCATGATGGTTCTTATGTTGTTCAAGGGTCCTATCCAGGGTCTGATCAATACCAATGCAGCGTTCGCCAAGTACGAAACCCCGTCGACACATTCGCGTTTGCTTGGAGTGAAGGTGGTCTACATGTTGATGCAGCTGGTATTACTGGGCTTGGGTATTTGGAAGGTCAATGCGATGGGATTATTGCCGTGAGATTTGCTCTCCAGCTTTGACTATGCTTATTTTGCTAACATATTCAGAACTACGAGATCGGATTGGCTAGCATGGGAGTCTGAACGGCAGCCTTTGGAGCGGGCTCATTTTGCTTTCAGGTGATGTAATGGACTTGGAGTACGGGTCAAATGGTGGAAAGAAACTGTTAGAAATGCGTCCGTGGACGATAATGCAATTTGGAACAGCTTATTATAGCAGTGATCATGTTGGTATTTTGCCTTGTATTATTGATTGGAGAGTTCTATAATAATGCATTTCTTGGGTGCAAGTTTCTAAAAGGCTGAGAGGAAAAATGTTGTTCATCGGGTCACTTCTGACTTCTTGAAGCATTCTCTTCCCCGGTGTTCTTAGCTTCCTCTTTCAGACGGCGCTCTTCACGCCAACTCGGCCCCTTTCGAATCACGATCAAAAGCAGGGGCGTTGTGGCCATCATCACCAACGCAATGAATGTGAAACACCAGCCTCGACCCATGGCAGAAATCATAGGATCGATGAGTGCCGTTGCGCCGGCTCCCAATAAGCAGCGCACGATATTATTTGCAGCAGTGGCTTTGGCCGCTTGCGTTGGATATAGGTCTACCAGGAGTGTGCTGATAGTATTGAATGCCCCTGTCAAGGTCAATCCCATGAGGAATAGAATACATGTTGGCGCAGCAAGATGAATTCCATAGTTCAAGAACCAACCAAATACAAGGACGGATATGCTTCCTAATGCGAGAAGAGGGAATGCAATCTGAAGACGAGCTTTTTCAATAGGGAAGTTCCGCAAGTCAGTTTCGCGGTTCTTGGTCAGTGGGAAGTTCAATTGCTTTGCGAGTCGGCGATAGTTGAAGTCCAGGAACTTGCCATTGACAATGGAAGCGATGGTCGCGCCGAGGCCAAACGGTATATAGCACAGACCGATTTGAAGGTCATCTAGCCCGTAGAGCTCATTGAAGATAGAAGGAATACTTGCGCCCACATCGTAGAAACCAGCAAAAAGAATAGCATTGCAGAAGAGGATGAGACTGGTATCCTTCTGAAATACAATTGCAAGCGTCTGGAAAGGATTTGGGAACTTGAGTTTCTGCTTGGGGGCGATCGCTGTAGATACACCTCCCTCGCGAGCCTTCCGGGACTTCAGGTAGCTGATTAGGGGCATATTCCATTTTTGAGGAGGTAGTGAGCCATCTCCGACAACTCCACGAGCAGTTTCCGGGAAGAAAACCAGAAACGGAACCATGAAAGCTGCTGCAAAAATGGTCAGAAACCAGAAGATGGCCCGCCAGCCCAAATATTGAGACAATAGGCCTCCAATCACTGGTCCGATTGATGGGCCCATGAGAGATCCTGCCGTGACGAGTCCCATGTAGGAACCTCGTTGTGATGCAGTGGCTATATCGGCAACTACCCCTGATGAGAGGGCAATGGTGGTACTGCTCCCTGCACTTTGCAAGCATCGGAGAACAAAAAGAGCTGCATAATTGTCTTGCAAGGCAAGTCCGATATTAGCTGCAATATAGATGGTGAAGCACACAATATATGCTGGTCGTCGGCCAGCTTTGTCCGCAAAGTCACCAATGAACATGGGCGATAGCCCTTGAAAAATCTGCATTCTTATTAGCCCCCAGTATCGAGATTTCCTTATATATATAGGAACCCTAACCATATAACTCGTCAAAGTTAAATTGATCAATGAATTTGATACATGCAGATCCTTCGCCAAGGTATTCAATGCGGGGAAGTAGATCTGGGAAGAGACAGGCGAGAAGAAACCAGCCCAAGATGCCATAAAGACAATATACCTGCGCTGACTGACTCTGAAGACTGAGTAGTCGACATCAGCAAGGACCTCGCTTCCTCCCACTGCATCTTCACTAGATTCTTGCAAAACAGATGGTTGTATTTCCTTCTCCGCCATCTAAAGAATTCTTGGCTGCCAAGGTCGAAACCAAGCAAATGAGTAAAAAGGCGTCAAAGAACGCAGAGAAACAGCTCTGAATCATTTTTTCCCCTTAGCCCGTAAGCCCATAAGCGGGGACAATTTCACCAACCGAGATAACAGTGGCGTGCCGAAAAGCCGAATTTTCTATGAGGTTGATCCCTACTTTTTACGGACATCTACCTATTCCGTATAGGTAGTATTAGCTCTAGAGTGATATAAATGAATATTTGAAAATATTAACCTGACTTCCTCAAAGATTCTTAATGCAGTTCAGACAATAAAGTACACAAGTCAACGCGCCTTAACGGCCTCTTTGCACGCCTTCAAAAAGATCTGACAGAACTCCCACACTTCCGTGTAAGTGTTATACAAGGGTGCAGGAGCGACGCGAACCACATCTGGTTTCCTCTCGTCTATAACTACACCGTTCTCCTCCAGACAATGCAAAACATGTTCCAGCAAGCCTGGCTGGAGACGTAGGCTGAGCTGAGCACCTCGCTCAGCTGGGTTCGATGGCGTGATCAGGGTGAATGGTTTATCTTCAGGAGCCGCATCTAGAGGATACTTCATCAGAAGATGTTCTAGATATCCTGTGAGTTGGAGGGATTTCTGTCGAATTTCCTTCATGGTTGTCCGGTTGAAGATCTCGAGAGATGCGACAACTGCATTGATGTCTAAAACAGAGGGATTCGATAGCTGGAATCCAGCGGCACCGGGTTGCGGCAAAAATTCTATAGTCGTCAGTCTTGCCTGTCTATACATCAGAATCAGACACTCACTATTTTCCATGTTGAAACGCGTCTTGATATCTCCACCCCACCAGCCTGAGAGTCGAGGCCGGAATGTCTCGTCACTTTCGGGCTGTTTCTCATCTACAGAGCCGTGACGTTCATGGACAAATAGTCCTCCTATTCCACCCGGACCGCTGTTGACGTACTTGTAATTGCACCAGGCTGCAAAATCCACATTCCAATCGTGAAGTTGCAAATCCACATTGCCAACGGCATGAGCGCAGTCCCAGCCGATCATGATGCCTTTAGAGTGGGCATGGGCCGTAATCCGTTCAATATCGAAGTACTGCCCCGTATAGAACTGAATAGCCGACAGTAGAACGAGTGCAGTGCTGGAAGCGTTGTCATCAATCACTTTGATGATTTGTTCCGTGCTAAGGGTGGGATGGTCTAGATCCTTGGGTTCGATCAAAACCATGCCGTCCTTCGGATCGAAGTTATGATGACGGAGCTGAGACTCAACCGCGTACTAGATTGTATTCGCGTTAGTACCAGCAATAAAGTCCACAATTGAACTGCACAACCGAGAGACATACATGATCACTGGGGAAAGCTTTGCCCTCCAGTATAATCTTATACTTCTCTTTGGTCGGGCGATAGAAGCTTGCCATTAGCAGATGCAAATTGGCAGTCAAAGTGCCCATAACAGCCACTTCACTTTGAGAAGCACCGACAACTGAGGCCATAAGCTTGGAGGCTGCAGTGTCAACATCGACAAAGGGAGGTAGCAATTGGTCGTCATGCGGCACAAAGTGCCCGGTTACGCCTTTCGTTGCCCAAGTTCGCAGGTACTGCTCGATATATTTCTGGGTGTTACGAGGCTGGACTCCCAGTGAGTTACCACAGAAATATATGCATTTTTCATCAGACACCTTATCGCCTATTGAGAAGGAAAGAAGCCAATGATTAGAAAGGATTTGTGGGCACACAAGAGGACCTGATACGCACTCTCGTCTCCTGTTAGCGTCTTTCGCTTGAGATCCTTCTTGGATGGAATGATAAACTCATCCCTGAAGTTCCGAAGTGGATCTTGAGCATCAAGAGCTTGGGCATATTCCTTCTTGTAAGCCCTGATATCATCTGTATAGGGAAGCGGGGAACCGCTTTCAATGTCCCGAACATGCTGCCGGGAGCCCATGATAATAGAATCAGATGTTACTGAAATGGGGTAGTACGATTCATAAATCTGACAACTGTACCAAATCAAAACTTCAACAAAGTCTCATAGAAGGTTGATACATTTATCTGCAGTCCCCCACCATGCGGCGATCCCTTCCTGATAAGGATATTATTCTGCCCATAATTCCCGACTCTATCTGACCAATGGCGTCACTACTAAACTGACTAACCCGATGTAATCGGAATGGGTTGATTTGATATCAAGTGTTCTTCACCTCTCTACTTTCTCTTCTTGAAGAATTTCTTTCTTTCACACATCAGTCATGTCACGTCATTTATTATCATCGACAGCCGCCCGCCAGGTATCCCGAGCACAGACGTGCCGGCTCTTCTCGACCTCCCGACCGGCTTTGCGCCTCTCCGCATTCCTCGGCGGCGAAGTCGTTCCTGGCCGGCCAGGCACTGTCGCAAGTAGCACACCTTCTCTCAAACGCTCGGCACCTCAATCATCAACCTCTCGCTATATCCGCCAGCAATATGCGTGTTTTTCTTCCTCATCCGTCCGCCTGACGACCAAGGTGACGCAGAACCCAAGAACCGGAGATGATGGAGAACCGCTTATGATGAGGATTTCGCCCCGGGCTGTGGAAGTGAGTTTATAATGGATTTCTTTGCTATCGATTTGCCTATTTTTGCCTCGCTTTTCTATCTGGCTTGTTGGGACGGATGGGAAGCTCTCCAGGGTACATGGTACCAGGCGCCGGTCTGTGTCGGCTTGCTTTCAGCCGAGTAGGGACGACCCTACGGTGCGCCATAGGCCCTTCAAATGCTCTTTCTAGTACATGCGACCATAGGGTGTGGAAAACAGGGCTTCCCGTCCGCTCAGCCGTACTTAAGCCACACGCCGGTGAGTTAGTAGTTGGGTGGGTGACCACCAGCGAATCCTCACTGTTGCATGTTTTTTTTTTTTTTTTTTTTTTGCTTCCGTGTGGAAAACAGGGCTTCCCGTCCGCTCAGCCGTACTTAAGCCACACGCCGGTGAGTTAGTAGTTGGGTGGGTGACCACCAGCGAATCCTCACTGTTGCATGTTTTTTTTTTTTTTTTTTTTTGCTTCCTTTTCTGTTTCTTCTTATGGGAGCATTTTTTTTATATATTTCTATGGATCATCCTAACCTAGCGCAGCGTCTCCGTGAAATCACCGACCCAACCTCTTCTCCCTCCGCCATTAAGGAAGAGAATCCATACCACCATCTTCGCATTACAGTCACCAGTGGCGGATGCCATGGTTTCCAATATCTGATGTCCCTAGAGGGGGCTTCCAAAATTGACCCGGAAGAGGATACTGTGTTTGAAGGAGAACCAGATGCTTCAGAAGCTGCCACAGAGTCAGCCGGTCAGGCCAAGGTCGTTATGGATGAGCCCTCGCTCGAGCTGTTGCACGGCAGCACCGTGGACTATACCACTGAGTTGATCGGGAGCCAGTTTAAGATTGTGGACAACCCCCGTGCGACAAGTAATTGCGGTTGTGGGACAAGTTTTGATGTCAGTGATTGAGCAATCTGACTCTTAGGGGATAGGAGTGATGGTATTTACTATCTTCTTCTTTTTCTCCTATTATTTTATGTACATTATGCTGCATTCTGCGCACTGGAGAGATAGATAATTACATGCTATACCCCTCTTCTCTTATCTTGGCCAAGAATAGTGCATAAGCGGTCTTGTGATGTCTTTTTAGTAGTCTTTTGGTCTCTTTGCTGGTCTCAGATATCATTATGTTTAGATGTGCCAGTATGTACGTACCGTCTAGATTATGTGCCCCGGCTAGATGTCCAGAAGAATAAGGGGATTGGCTGCTGTGATACAATTGGAGAAAATGCTTGAACATTGGATATCATTGATTTGTGTATCAAAACTTCTGGTATCGCTAAGAAGAAATCATGAATAAAGAGACTGAAGTAACGGCAAATGCCTAATCTCATGTAAAAACCGAGACGAATTTGAGATCTTAATCCTCCTCCATCTTCGCAAGTCCACCACGGCTACGCCGAATGCGTTCATCCAGAGTATCTTCTTGTACTCGCTTATTGACATCAGACATGAACCTGCCCCGGTCTGAACGCTGCCGATCGTCAGCCTCCCGCTGCTCTTCCTCCTTGGCTGTGATCTCAGCGATTCGCCGGAGTCGCTCTGATTCGATTTCTGCAGCGTTCGATTGCATTTCTGCCAACTTGCGGCGGCGTTCTTCTTCCAGCTCCTTGGGGTCCGGCTTGTTTGTTGGAGGACGGGTAGAGGGCGGCCCCATGGCGCGGCCACCGTCACGCCGATTATTGTATTCGCGGCGGGGGAAGTCACGGCGGCGATCTTCCTCGACGGGGCGTTCTTTGCGATCGCTAGATGGCCGAGGAGATCGAGAGGTCCGGGATAGTGAGCGTTCTCGCCGAGCACTTCTGTCTTCGCGATCTCGGTGTCGGCTGGAGTGGGAGTCTCTCTTATCGTGATAGTCGCGACGGTCTCGGCCCCGGTCTCTATCGTCCCGGCGAGATCGGTTCTCGTCACTCCTCCGATCACGGTGGTCTGAACGGTGTTCGTCGTCGCGGCGTTCACGATCACGGTCACTTCGGTGTCTGCGGGAAGATCGATCGGGTGAAATGGGTGATCTAGATCGGTGTCGTCGAGGTGAAGACCTTCGGTGGTGGCGGTCACGGCGGTCATCACCAGCATCATCACTGTAG